GAAATTATAAACTTAAACTTTTAAATTTGATATTGTAATACGTTCAAAACTTATTTATGATGTAATATCGTTCTTGTCGTAAATAATCGAAATATAGCTTTTGAGGGCACTCGAGTTGGCAAGAAGAGCTAGCTAGCTTTGAATTTTGTTGAGAGGACTGGTTGGTATATTCCCCAATTTTCCATTACTGTTGCAAGTTTATTTCGTATGGAATGGGACCTCTGTTATCAAATTTTCCATCATTACATCTGTCGACGAAATGAAAGTCGGACTTTTCGGATGGTTAGAATTTCATTAAATCGAGAGAAAAGTTGTCGTCATCATCCGATTTTCCATCATGGAGGGATTGTTTGATGCCTTCTCAAATATCAAATCATGGGATCGAGTGATAATTGACTCCAAAAAATCTCTTCATCATTTTTGTGATCACCAGCAAGTGAACTTAGACACATCCATGAAAGAACGATTCAAAGTAATGTTCATGATCCGACCAAAAAAAAAAAGAAGTAATGTTCATGAGCCCACGTGAAAATATCCGATGACAGCTTCATATGATTAATGCATCGATCGAAATAAATCACGTCACGAAATCAAAATTCGTCCCTCCTTTCTAATTTTACTTCCTTCGGGATCAACCTATCGGATTGATCTTGAAATTTGTCCACGTTAGCTCGAGACAGCAATTCTCAACCATACACAATAACTCGAACGTCCAGAACCTCTTATTATAGATAAAGAAAGAAAACACATGGGTCAAGATCGCTTTTTTCCTCGGGGCGTATCCAACCACATTCATAAAGCACGCAGCATTACCCGAATTGGCAGAAGTATAGCCCTTAGGGTTTCCTCCACAGGCCCCCCCACGTGCGCTGGTAATTTGAATATATTCCAAAACAACACAACTTCGGAGGTCTTTCGAAGGAAAGAGAACGAAAGCAGCATGCAATCTGTTGCTTTCTTTGGTGGGGTTTTTGCTGATATATATCTATTGAATGTTCTTCGGGGTAGGTTTGGCCAGGGGGAAGATGACTTGGCCCTTACATTTCCTAGGTTGTTGTTGGGGTGGATGTGGAATATAAATGCAGCAGCCTTATCAAAAGCGCAAGAAAAAACAAAAACAAAAGAACGAACGATAAAGCGATGAGGTTCATTGCTGGTAGCAAGAAAACCCTGGAAAAGTAGTTTTCTTGAGCACGCAGCAATTAATTCTTTGCTCCATGGATTCTACATTACTATTCTTGATGCTGAAATGGGAATTAGAGGAAATGAATAATGATCATTGGTTGAAAGAATTCATATGATGTTCCGTGCTGAAGTTATATGTGGATGGAAAAAGGGTTGATTGAAGCTGAGAAAAGAAAACCCTAGCGGAGGGTTTAGTGAATAGGATGCGGTGGGTGGGGCTTGTCGCTAGATCTGATGTTGTTTATTGCTAAACGGAAAAACATTCTCCCATACGTGATGTTTCGAAGACTTGAAAGGTGAACGCGAATTTTTCGAGATAGGTTGCGCATGGAAGAAAATGTCATGGAAATGCTTCCGACATCATGGGATCGAGCGGAAAAATTTGCTAAATCAAAGCCACGTGGATTGCCACTGTGACTTTATCTTAAGGTAACCTACTGGAAACCGTAACGAAAACGAACCCTTACAAGGCAATCGTCGTTACTCACGGACTCGAACCCGGACGATCCATGAAGCTCGTGCGAAACTAAACGGAGGTCCCGATACAGATAGGATGATCGAGGATGACAAATGAACTCACGATGCCCGTTCGACGAATTGGGTCACGCGCGTGCATCTTCCATGGTTGGTGCATCGCGTGTTGACCGATTACGTAAGTAGTTGCGCATCCATCTATCTTTACACATGTTAATGTACGACTCCAAAGTTATAAAAGGAAAAGTCGCCACCAACCCCAGAATCATGAATCCGACCACGACTTGTTTATGCATACGAATGCGCACGGCCGCCACCGGTGAGTAGCGTCCCAAGTTATGGTCTGTTTTTTCAGAGGAAAGGTGCACAGATCTTCTGTAAAGTGATGTAATAAACAGTGTGAAAAGAGCAGAGCCGTGCACGAGCTTTCTTCTCTTTGCATGGTGGAAGTCGAGAGACCGAGCGACGCCTTGGACATTAATGAATGCGGCGCCGCGTAAGGAGAAAACGCAAGTCGAACACGTCTCGATTCGCCTCGAAGTTTCGTCCACCGACTTTTCTTCGGAAAGTCGGGCCGTGCGGAATGGAATTGGGCGAAGATCGAGATGGTCGTCGCTTTGTTTTGACTTTTGCGAAACCAGACATTCCTCAGCCTTCCCGTGTCCTCTCGTGGGACTGGCGAACTGGGCAGCCGGCGCGGTGAAGATGGGCGGACTTCGCGATCGCAGGCGAAGATGGACTTGATCTGCACGATCTATGATTTCAGGGGACGATAATAAAAATGGTCCTTAAAACTCTGACCCAATGTGTAACGTGTGGTATCTGAACTTTTAATTTGTTTAATATAGTCCTTGAACGTTAGCCCGATGTGCAATGTGGTCCTTAAATTTTTAATTTGTTCAAAATAATGCTATACTTTTGGCACATATTCATTGTCCATTGAAAAAATTAAAAATTGAATAATAAATTAAAACTTAAATTGTATAAAAATGTTCAATTTAGTTCATGGACTTTTAGTACATGTTCAATACCGTTATTTGATTAATTCAAGTTCAGGGACACTATTAAATGATTAAATTGAATATGTACAAAAAGTTTATGAACTACACTGAACAGGTTAAATGTCCGGGGACCATCTTACATATTATGTTAAAATCTAGAGATCGCATTTAACGAGTTAAAAGTTCAGGACCGCATTGTATACCGGGCTCAAGTTAGAGCGGTCATTGGCGTCATTTTCTCTGGTAATATTCTAGTACTCTGCGAGAGAATCGAAGTAGATGGAGGGGGGGGGGGATCCATCTCGGATTTGGGCGAGAGAGCCGACCGAAACAGAAGTTATCGACACTCGGCAGTCGTTTTTCTTTTGCCATCTTCTTCGAATCTTCGTACCTCGGCGGTCTTTGACGCCGTTCCTCGTCCGTTAACTTCGCCGGAAACTAATAATTGTCCTCCCCTTCGTCTTTTTCCCGCTAGCTGCCCGAAATAAGAAATAAAAATAAATAAATTCGGTGGGATGATTTCGGACGGTCACGATGTCCCCGCGTGCGGACAAGGAGGAAGAGGACGAAGAGGAGCGTGTCATTAGGAGCAACGTCGTGCCCATGTTGAAACGGAAACAGAGCTTGTCTTATTGAGGAAATTCGAGAGGTGATTAGCGTGAGTCTTGGTCATTAATTAGGATATCTGCGGTTGTTAATGCCTACCATACCAACCGTTCAAGGGCATTAAAGTTGGAATTAGACCAATTTCATGGAAAAAGACGGTTTTGGGTTGATGGGCGATTGAATGCTCAATCGAAACGGTAATTTCTCGCGCCGATAGGCATACGGCCCTGCCAATAAAAAAGGGATTAAACTGGTGAGGACGTCGGTGTTACATAGACAAGGTTCGACTCCTGCGCTTCGTAAAAAGCAGAGCAAAAATTAAAGAGAAAGGGATAGGAGTGCTGGAGATAGGTTAGATAAAAAAAAAATCACGGCTACTCGGAATGACTTTATAGTCGTCCGGCCAGCTCGCGCCGATCGGTCGAGTTTGAATGGGGCTCGGAAAAGTGGAGGGGCTAGGGTCTAGATTAGGGATTGGGAGGTTAGGATGGCAATTAGTAGGGATTGGGAGGGGCATTATGGGGAAATCAGGAGGCGACCGGACCAAACTCCAATTGGCGGCAAACGGGCGTCAAAAAGTATGGCCTTGCCCCGTCAAACCAGACCAGCTTTGCTTTTGGCCTCCCTTCCCTCCTATTTATTTCCAGTCCAACTTCTACTTTCCCTTTTCTAAGGGCGACCCTTTGATTTGAACGCCGGTCCAATTAAATTAAATTAAATTAATTAATTACTTTATTCTTCTTCTTTCTTAAATTCGATTATTATTATTATTTTTTGAAAAATCCAATTGGGATGAGCTAACAACCAGCCCCACCATCCTCCCCCCTCCCATCACTCTCGTACTGGTCACATATATACATATATAAATTAGACGAAATAGAAAATATATACTGATCCTATCTTCATCTGTCACGGCTCGCGGCCGTTCTAACCTGATAATAATTTTTTTTTCCTTAACTCAACATTGCGATGTTATTATGTGATCCGATCGTGAGCCGCGCATCCCGTGGATGTTATAAAATATTTTCGGCGGTTAAATGAGTCCTCGTTCCGGCATGTAAATATTTGATCAAACATTGATTTCGAAAATCATATCCTCGAGTACATTACTGTATTAGAGAAAAAACACGGCTTTAAAATGATTTATCATTTTCTATAATTCTCTGGCAAGTATTTTAGTTTGGCTCGCGCAACGCGTGGATGGATATAACATCCGGTGAATGATTACATCAATCCCGGATTCTTTAACCCATTTTTTATAGAAACCGCTTCTTTAATGAAAGATTTGAAGATTTGATCGCTTGGATACTCAGAAGTCGAAATTGGGTTTTTAAAATATCCCGATTAAGAAATTGGCATGGTCTACAATAAGTGGAAAGTCCACCCCAAAGTTCAAACCCCTTCAACCGAAATATAATTTTAATTTCGGGATTAATTAAGCAAACAAAAAATACTCCCAAAAAGTGGAATCTCTCGCTTGACCCCGCGATACTTCGTCTCCGTCTAGACTCCACGTCAAATGTTGTTTCCTCTTTTTTTTAAAAAAAAACTTTCTCAAAAAACTAACGTAACGTTTACATATTATATAAAATATTCTTATTTTTGGGTACGAAATTATTTTTATACAGTCCCATGGGAAAAAGGACAGTCCTGGAACAGGTTTATTTATTATTTATTATATTTGTTTTTGACAGATTACAACAACGCAACACCGACGCACAAAGCGACCACTGTTCTTGTTCCACCACCACTCTTGTCCCTCTGCTACATCCCGACGAGGAAACGCCGTGCTGTCATAAGATTCCCTCCTTCCCTCCCTCCCTCTCTCTCTCTCTCTCTCTCTACTTTCCCTTTCTCTTTCCCATCAATTTTCTCGAGAAACAAACACTCCCCCTGTCTCTCTCTCTCTCTAGCTCGCCGCCTCCGTCTCTCCTCTCCGTCCAAACGCGCCATGGCCGCCGTAATCTAGCCGCCGGCTCGGCCGTCGTCGCCTCCTTCTCTCTCTCTCTCTCTCTCTCTCTGCGCCCGCCGATTTGAGCGGTGGTTGTTGGTGCGAGTTTGAAAATTTTGCCCCGTTTTTTTTGTTTCTTTTCTTTGCTTCTTCTTCTTCTTCTGGTGGGGGGTTTGTGCGTGTGTGGGAGAGATGGGCTGCGCCGGCTCCAAGCTGGACGATCTCCCCGCCGTCGCGCTGTGCCGCGAGCGGTGCGGCTTCCTCGACCTGGCGATCCGGCACCGGTACGACCTCGCCCAGGCCCACGTCACCTACATGGCGTCGATGAGGGGCGTCGGCCACTCCCTCCGCGAGTTCCTCTCCCACGGCGGAGGCGGCGGCGGCGCCTCGGGGGGCCACGTCCTCAACCTGCCCCCGCAGAAGAAGGGGGACCGCGGGGTCGCCGCCTTCGCGAATTCACCCCCCAAGGGGTCCAATCACGGCGATCACCTCGACTTCCCCTCCGATTCCGACGCCAGTTCTCTCTCCGACGAGCTCCATCGCTCGGGCGGCTCCTCGCCTCTGCACGGTCACGATGGCCACCACATTGAGTACATGAGTTCGGATCAGGAGCCGCCGCCAGGTATGGGTATGGGTATGGGCACGGGCACGGGCATGGGAATGGGTATGGGCTCGTATCAAGGTGGTGATTTTTTGCACATGAATTACATGAAGAGTAAAGCGACGTCCTCTGTGGTCTACGAGCAAAAGCCCGTGACTTCGGAGACTGTTTACATGGGCGAATCGTCGTCTTCTAATTATCTTCCTTACCCAAATAGTAACTCAGCTCCTTATCCCTATTCTGCTTATGGTAATCTTGGCTATGGCGGTTCAGCTGGTGGGTACTATGGTTCTCAGACAAATTACGGATCTTTGTCTCCGCTCCGGCGGCAGGCGGAGGAGAAGCCGCCGCCAGCGCCCCCCTCGCCTCCTCAGACCTCCACGTGGGACTTTCTGAATTTTTTCGATGACAAGTTTTATCCGGCTTACACGCCGGGCAGGAACTCAAAGGAGTTGAGGGAAGAGGAAGGGATTCCTGATCTGGAGGATGAGCACGAGGTGGTGAAGGAAGTCCATGGAAAACCAAAGTTTGTTGATGTTGGGAATCATCTGAAATCTGTGGTGGTTGATGATGATGAGGAGGAGGAGGAAGAAGATGGGAAAGTCCATAGTGGTGCATCGACCTCTATGTATCAAGCCAGGCCTAGTGTTTCAATCGATAATGCTAATGATGGGGCGGAGTACGAGGTCCACATGGTGGAGAAGAAGGTCGTTGATGGTGAAGGAAGGTCGGACGAAGGCGGCAATGCCTCCAGGTTCAAGGGTATTCGGAATGTTTCTGAATTGGTGAGAGAAATCGAGGTTCAATTTGAGAGAGCGGCAGAGTCAGGACATGAGATTGCCAAGATGCTGGAAGCGGGGAAGGTTCCTTATAAGCGTAAAGGTCAAGGTGAGTATCTTCAGATTCTTTGGATAGCCCAAGTTGTCTTCTCTTTGAGGGAGTGGCTTTCGCTGTATTCATTACTTGCTCGATATGTGCGTTTTCTTTTATTCAGGGATAAAGGCATTGTTTGCATGTTGCCTGGCATTAAGATTATTTGGTTGTGTTTTTGTCCTGCACTTACTAGACTTAATTATGATTACTATACTTGCTTCATTGAGTTTGAGAGTCTGGTCTCATCGACTGCTCTTTTGGACTGTTGAACTTATACTTAATGTTCTGCCAGCAGTTTCTACGAAGAAGGCACATGGCCATACTCCTTCATTCTCGGTAGTATCGGCGCAGCCGCCTTCTTCCAAGGGCGCTGAGCCGTCAGCCTCTGCTGGAAATGCCGGGCCAGCTTCCTTGGGTTTTGTTGAAGAGATGGGAATGAGGTCGGGAAATCTTTCTTCCACTTTGCACAAGCTCCATCTCTGGGAAAAGAAGCTGTATAACGAGGTTAAGGTATATCATCTGCATTTTGTTTTCCCTCTCCACTTTCATCTCATATCTTGTATATGTCGCCGTGTTGCAACATTTTCCAGTTTTTTTTAACGGGATGGAGAGGCAGGTGCAATTTATGCTTGCTCATGTGTGATACAAATGAAAATTGAAGCCTCTCTATGGGGATCTATAACAGGCTAAATGTGAATTTTCTGGAGCAATTTTTTTGGAAAGTGTTTAGTCTGGCGCACGTTTTAAGTTGGATCTCGTTCACTGCTAGCCATTTCGTCTGTTGCCTTTGTCTCACGTTTCGGTTGCTCTCTGTCCGTTTTGCAGGCTGAGGAAAAGATGCGTGTCATTCACGACAGGAAGGTCCAGAGGTTGAAACATTTGGTTGACAGTGGTGCTGAGGCTACCAAGAAGGAGTTAACTAGGAACATGATCAGAAGTCTATCAACAAAGATAAGAATTGCAATTCAGGTTGTTGACAAGATATCTGTCACTATCAACAAGATAAGAGACGAAGAACTATGGCCGCAGATAAATGAATTGATAGAAGGGTATGTCCACTTACTAACTACAACATGCTAGATCTTTAGTTGTTCCTCCCCACCTTTGTTTGCACCGGAACCAACTCAACTCCCGATGCTGCAACTAAGTTGCTGTTTTCATGATTTCCTTCAGAATAATTTTACTTTCGTGCGCGCGCTCGCTTGAGCTCGTGTAGTAGTTATGTCACTTATTGGTTTCTCTGAGATGCTTATTGGCCATTCTAGGATGTAGTTATTATATTTGCTTGAGCTATTTGTGCCTCAATCTCTCCATGGATCTTTGGATTGACTTGAACTTATGAATGTCTAAAACATACAATTCATCTAGCTGCGCACATTTAAGGATGTTACTTTAGTAGTTCTGTACCTATTCATGTCCAGTGTGGTGTGCTTCTAGATGAAATAACACCTTGATTTCCATATGCTGACAAGTGGCAAATACCTTTGCAGCTTTTTCTTGATGAAATTGATTATAGATGTAGAAAATTCCAGATGTATGATGTGATGCTAAAGTAGTGTCTAAATTAAAAGAAAAAGTGGACATAGGTCAATCCCATGCATTTGCTTTTCATAAGTTAGATTTTCTCGTTGGCGGAGGGCTCAACCACAGCATGAGCAGTTGATCTGTGTGCGCGCGTCAATCTAATTTCTAATTGATAGCCATAATCTCTGTAGAATGATGATGAATTCGGGATTTAGATGAAAGGACTTCACCACGAGATGCTCGTTGCACTTTAACGTCACATACGTTATCCTATCGTGCTAATTTATTATCTGTTAACTACAGGTTAATGAGAATGTGGAAATGTTTACTTGAATGCCACCGGAATCAGTGTCAAGCAATGAAGGAAGCTCAGAGTTTTGGTCCCATTGGATCTGCAAGAAAGCTTGGAGATGCGTCTCCTGAAACCTTACTGCAGTTCCAGCGTGAACTTGTCAACTGGGCTAACCGATTCACCAGTTGGGTAACTGCGCAGAAGGAATACGTCAGGGCTTTAAACAATTGGCTTCTAAAATGTCTTCTTTACGAGCCTGAAGAAACTGCTGATGGAGTAGTTCCCTTCTCACCTGGTAGGATAGGCGCACCTCCAATATTCGTAATTTGTCATCAGTGGTCGCAAGCTATGGATAGAATATCTGAGAAGGAAGTTGTAACTGCCATGTTTGGCTTCACATCCAGTGTTTTTCAGCTCAGGGAGCGGGACAAGTTGGAGATGCGCCAGAGGATGATGGCGAATAAGGACTTGGAGAGAGTAGTAAGGGACTTGGACAGAGAGGACCAGAAAATACATAAAGAAATTCAGGCACTGGAAAAGAAAATCAGTCGGAACTCAGGGCATGGTGATATCCCATCATTAACAGGGCAACTCGTATATCAGAGCGATGTCAGTAGTAGTAATAACTTTCAGGCAAATTTGCAACGAGTTTTCGAGGCAATGGAGAGGTATACTGCGGACTCTATGCAGGCATACGAGGAACTAATGCAACGGAGTGAGGAAGAAATCAAGATCGCTCAGGAGCGCGTGGGTGTTTCATGAGACTGTGACAAGTGCTCATTTTAATCGATCTGCAATCTGAGGATTGGCTTGCCGCCTGTATGTTTGATTCGAGGGTTCACAGTTTATCATTTCTCCTGCTGGACATCTGAATCTCCTGCTGGGCCTGCCTCCCCTTATGGAAGAGTCCAATGAAAGCTCTTTTATTTGTTCAAGGACTTGGCCATGGGAATAGGAGATCTCGACTCGCAGTTTTTTCAGTATAGTGGATCTTGGGATAGTTATAATGACAACAGTGAGAGACATTGAACAGCAGTGGCAAACATTAGTCCAGAGCTAGGGTTATCGCATTGCTGCGGAGAAATGGCAGTGAGTGCCCAGGATATCTGAAAACTAAGGCAACGGGTCATGTTTAAGATAGCGAAGGTTCTCCTGTTGGAGATGGGGCTTGCATGTGCGGGGTGAAGTTTCATCTCCCATTCTGACACGCCCTTTGCGATGGACGGAAAGAACTATGTTACCGTCCGATGTCCGCCCAGTTTGTACAGTTCCATTTCCCTCAGTTTTGCATCAGTATAGTTGGAGGGTTAGGAAGTTTTCCTTAGAGTAAATGCACTGAAGGTGCCTGTATGTTCAACCGGAACCATGTAAGATCTATTTGCTGCTACCAAACATTTCATTTATTGTTGTACATTGATAGATTAAGGGCCTGTTTAATAAAATTTCCGTTTATCTGTTTTTCTGTTCTTTTATTTTCCGGAACAGAAAAAGAACAAAAATCTGTTTAGCAACGTCAGTTAGTCTTTTTGTTCCACGAAACAGAAAAGTGGTCAGGGAATATATTTGGAATAGAAATAAGAAGTAAAAAAATTATACTTTTCTGTTTCTGGAACAAAAAGAGAAATAATAGAGAAACAAGATCAACTTTCTCTCTTTCACAATATATTCTCATACTAAATCCTAAAACCCTAAACCTGAACCCTCAAATCCTAAATCCAAAAACCTTAAACCTCAATACCCAAACTTTAAAACCCATAACACTAAAATAAAAAATCCAAAACCCTAAAACCTTATACCCAAACCCTAAACCTTCTAAACCTTAAATCCTAAATCCTAAAATCTCAAACCCAAAACTTGAAATACTAAATTCTAAACCCGAAAACTCTAAATCCGAAATCCTAAAATCGTAATTCCAAACTTTAAATCCTAAAACGCAAAACCGCAAAACCCCAAAATCCTATACCCTAAATCCCAAACCCCAATACCCAAAACCCAAAACCCAAATCCATAAAACCCAAAACCCAAACCCAAACCCTAGAATCCCAACCCAAAACCCGAAACCCGAAACTCTAAAACATAAATCCAAAACCCAAAGCCCAAAACCCCAAACTCCAAACCTCAAAATCGAAATCCTAAAACCCCAACCCCTAACCCCAAATCCTAAAATCCTACGCTCTAAATTGCAATTTCCTCGACTACCATTCGGTATTTGCTTTGTTTATAAAGAGTAATTTTCTTTATGATTGTATTAAAGTCATTCAATTCTATATCATAATATATTATTATTCTATTTCTAGTCTAATTTTATCCAAACATGAATTGTTAAGTCCCTTAAACGGCAATTTCCTCAACTACCACCCAATATTTGCTTTGTCTATAAAGAGTAATTTTCTTTATGATTATATTAAAGCCATCCAATTCTATATTATAATATATTCTTATTCTATTTCTAGTCCAATTTTATCCAAACATGAATCGTTAAGTTTTCACAGACAATTTTATAATTAAATGAAAAAAATTAGGAGTAGAAATTTTTAGTGTCCTACTAAACGCATTTTTGTTCCTTTTCTACTCCAGGAATAGAAATTTTGTGCATTTACTAAACGTGTTTTTTTCTTAGAAACTCATATAGGGAATAGAAATAAAAAAAACTATTTCTGAATAGAAATTGTTTTTGGGAATAGAAACATTACTAAACAGACTCTAAGAGTTGAAGGAGATCTCAAAATTATAGCAGAGCCAGCCATTGGGAAAAGTACCAAAAAAGTCATAAACTTATTGTATTGGTATTGGTCAAGTTCTAAATCTTTTCACATTGATACTAATTCAGTCCATCCGGTCAATGTAGGTCGAAAACCACTGACGTGGACGGCGGTTGTCCTTCGTGGCATGGTTGGCTCTAACGTGAATATTTTTAAATAGCATTTTAATAAATTTTTTCATTTTCTTTCTTTTTTTAAATTTTTAAATTTTTATTTTTTCATTTTGGCTGTCGAGGGGCAGCAAGCTCACCATATCTAGGTGACTCGTGGCCTCGTCGACTGTGCCGAGGACCTGCACCACGGGTAATTGCACCAAGGCCCTCTCCTAGATCCCTCACCCATGATCGACGAGGGTTTGCTAGCCCTCATCAGTTGCCGAAGTGGGCTTGCTGGCCCTCGCCCAGTGGCTGGCGAAGGCCAAAATGAAGGAAAAAAAAGAAAAAAATAATAAAAAAAGAAAAGAGTTAAAATATACTGGAAGATTTAAAACTTGTAATGAAAGTACAATTGAGTCTTATCAAGTCCTAAAACTTGTTAACTTTTTTCGTTTGTCAAGTTGGATGGAGTTAATGGAAGGACTTAATTGCACCAATTTGATAAATATTAGGACTTGATTGCACTTTTTGAAAGTTTTAAGATTCAATTGCACTTTCATGACTTTAGGACTCTATTACACTTTTTGAAAGTTTTGGGATTCAATTGTCCTTTGTGACAAATTTTAGAACTTCCAGTATATCTATCCCAAAAATAAAAAAAAGAAAATATTAGCAAAATCATAAAAAAATAAAAAAATATTTAAAAATATCAACATTAGTGCCAGTCGTCTTAAGGTCGTGCCATGTAGGCGACCGACGTCCACGTTAGCGATTTGTGGCTTAAATTGGCGAGATGGACTAAATTGCTACTAATGTGAAAATGTTTAGGACTGAATTGGTATCAATGCAATAGGTTTATAATTTTTTTGATACTTTTATCCGGTCAGTCATGCAGCAATTTACTTTTCTCGACTTGCTAAACTTTTTGATGCGATTTGGTTGTTTTTATTTTTGCTTGATATGTGGGAGTAACAAACATGAGGAATTTGATGTGAGTAACGGTGGTGTTGGCTTCTCAATAAGGTTGAAGAGAGCTGCAACGATGCATTTGATGATGACAAGGTGGCCAAGAGCAAAAGAAAACCTTGATTCGATTCTCAAAGGAGTTTCAATATCACTTGGGCATATTTATTTCCGAAAAAACTCTACGATAAAGGAAGATGTTTTTCGAAAAATTATTTTCTAAAAAAATGATTAGTTTTCCTTTATTATTTGAACTGGCAAATGAAAATTATCATGTGCAGTTATATTAGGGTAATGGACACGTGAGATTAGGGCAAAGTTTGTCCTAAAAAGTAAATCAGAAGTTGTCGAACGAAATTTCAAAGAGAAGGAACTCGTTGATTTGAAGAGCTCGGTGAAAGCGGTGTGGTCGCTGTCACCAGTTGCCCTTGTTGGGGAAAATTGTCCAAAAATTTCTAAACCTATTGCACTTTTGCCAATTCAGTCCTAAATCTTTTAAGTTTGTCAATTGAGTCCTAAACCTTTACACTTCTTGCCAATTGAGTCCTAAACTTTTACACTTCTTGCCAATTGAGTCTATCCGGCCAATTTTAGACGAAAATCGCTGACGTAGACGCCGCTCGGCCACGTGGCGCTGATGTGGACATTTTTAAATAATATTTTTATAATTTTTTGAAAATTTTATTGTTTTTTTCTTTTTTCCTTTTTCTTTGTTTTTTTTTTGGGTTTTGGAGTTGGCTAGCGAGGGTGGCCGGCCGACCCTCACTAGCCACAGGTGAGGGTCGGCTGACCCTCGCCGGCTCTGGGCGAGGGCCTCGATGCCCTCGTCGGCCAAAGCAAAGGCGCGCGAGCCCTCTCCAGATCTGGCTAGGTGAGGGCGTGGGGCGAGGGTTGGCCGGCCAACTCTAAAACCCAAAAAAAAAAAATAGAGAAAAGGAAAAAAAAAGATAAAAAAACCATAAAAAATTCACAGAATTATTAAAATATTATTAAAAAATGTCAACGTCAGTGCCATGTGGCCAGCCGGCGTCCATGTCAGCGATTTCCGATCAAAATCGGCCGGATGGACTCAATTGGCAAGAAGTTTAAAGGTTTAGGTCTCAATTGGTAAAAGTGTAATAAGTTTAAGACTTTTTGGACGATTTTCCCCCCCTCCTTGCCGTCGCGTCGCACCATTTCCTCTCCTTCTTTGACAAGTGCGACGTCGCCAATTGAGTTGCTTCCCTTCGCGTCCCACTTCCTTTTCTTGAATCGTTCTGGTCATCTCCTTAGCCTCTGTTCAAGTTCATGCACTCATGTCTCCTTTCGGCTGTCTCCTTCCTCGCCCTAACGTCGTGTTTTTATGAAGAGGGCATGGAGTTCGTGCCCATAAAAATGAAGGATTGAGAGAGAGAGAGGTTTTCTACGGCGGGAGCGACGGCGTGAGGGACGTCGCCAATTGAGTTGCTTCCCTTCGCGTCCCACTTCCTTTTCTTGAATCGTTCTGGTCATCTCCTTAGCCTCTGTTCAAGTTCATGCACTCGTGTCTCCTTTCGGCTGTCTCCTTCACTCGCCCTAACGTCGTGTTTTTATGAAGAGGGCATGGAGTTCGTGCCCATAAAAATGAAGGATTGAGAGAGAGAGAGAGAGAGAGGTCTTCTACTGGCGGGAGGCGACGGCGGCCGACGAGGGGACGTCAAATCCTGGCCACTGCTTGCTAGTACAAGACCACTCACGTCTTGTAGAGGGCATGGAGTTCATCCACTCACGTCTCCTTACTTCACTCGTTTGTTTTTACGTTTTGAGAATTCTGGCTTCGAAGAGAGGCATGAAGTTTGGACATGGGTTCCCTCTATTCGGTTTATTGTTCGCACTAGATTGAGCCACATGGCACGCTCATGTGTGAGTTTTACTCGGCAATTTCATTTTTATGATCACTTTAGAAAATCTCTAATCCCAGTAAATTTCTAATTTTTTGTGCATATAATGATGATAACTTTCTAATCGATATACGACAGATAATATAGTTGTTTCATATTTTGGTAATTAAATCCTAGCTAGTTTCTAGTTTTCATGTATATTTTACTAATAAATCTCTAATGAATGTACCAGAAATAATAGAGTTATTCATATTTTTGTAATAAATAAAAGATTAATCTATGTATATATAGATTCTATTTAGACGTATGATCAAAGATCCAGGGCTGTTAAATTCTATTTTGTTCTCAAATCTCTTTTTTGGAATTTAAGGCATATTGCTTGACGATATTCTTATCACTAAATTGAGAACAAAGTCCTCCTGTCGAGGTTTTATTACACGATAATTCTTAGCACTATCAAGAAGGCTCACCGTATAATACCACAAGTAATTACTATTAAATTGAGTACAAAGTCCTTGTATTTTACTATTAAATCCTAGCTAGTTTCTAGGTTTTATCACACGATAATTCTGCCACAATTGATTTTCAAATTTAAAATCTCAATTTCCTACCATAAGTTCAACGCTGCATTGATAGTAAAAGTATTCAAATTTAACATTGAGAAAACATCGTTGCGAATTCATGTAAGCTCTATACATATCAAATGAAATGAGTCATATTTGCTCCGAACATATATGAGTTGAGGTTTGTCCAGGCCTTCCAGCTTCGGCGAGCACTCCCCGCTCTCGTCGGACTGAATCATTACACTGCAATGCAGATACGACACATATATGTTATGCAGTGACTGCATAAAACGCAGGTGAATTCAACAGGGACAGGCAGTTTAGGAACCTGTGAAATCTTGAGTGAGCAAGGTGTTGGTGCTTTGTCCCCTTCGGTTTCAACCCTCTCCGTCTCTCTCGTTGTTCTGCGACAGCCATCCATCGATGACGTCGATGAACTTCACCTTAAAAAACAAGAGTCTTGTCTGATCTGGTCTGCTGTCTGCTCTCAAACGCAGCGATATTCTCTCATCAACCCTTAATGGGTCCTCCTGCAGCAAGCACCATTATAAAATGGACAGAAACAGGTGAGCAGCTGCATCTTCAGTTCTGCTCTGCAGGCATCGGAGACAAGCCAGCATCACCGCCCCTCGTGCGCGCGGCATTTTTTTTTTCTTTACGAAACTCGTACCTCGTTGTTCTAGCTTCTCTTGCAATTATTAGATCCATAATTTTCAACAAGATCTACACATTGGACAGGGTGGTGGGAGACAGTGAGTGGACATCGGCGAAGAAAGCTGTGGATCTGGATCAAATATCATATTAGGCCGCACGAGGAGCCGAATCGTTGGTTTCCTTTTGCTTCTCGCCTCTCCTTGGTTTTAAATTCTTGGCAGTGGCAAGAGACTGTGAAACTGAGACTTCAACTTGTCTTTGCGAACGAACTTGAAACAGACAGCATAGTCTTTCGGGTGGCTGGTTTGTGGCTTCTGCGTCGAAACCAAAAATCCCACTTCCATGCTCGCTCCATCGGCTTGCTTTCTAAACATCACCCATTCATTCACTAACTGCGTTTGGTAGTCCAGATTTGAGTATAGATAAAATAACAAAATATCATGTCCGGTGTTTGGCGATGCACTCCAGATTGGATATACCTGGATAAAATATTAAATAAGAAATCCGGGCTAGGGTGGGATAAACCCAAATTGGATAATTATTTTAAAAAATAACCTCAAATTTTTTTTTTCCAAAGGTGGAGTGACACACCCGGCTTTGCTGGCCATCGCGCAAGGTCCACCTCCACGACAGTCGATCATTGTCACTTCCAACCACCGTGCAATTGTCATTGTCTCCGACCACCATCCATCGGCATGGCCGTCTAGCTGATCGTGCTCCGAGGATTGAGGGTGAAAAGGTGAAGTTATACGTCACATGACCATCACCGTTGGAGACTTCAAATTTTTTCACGAGTGCATCGGATCCTTCGAGGTTGTCGTCCACAATAAAGGCATGTTTGCCCTCGTTACTCGCTGTCTCAGTGCCCTCCACTAGGGGATCTCCGTCCACCTCCTCTCCACCCCCTCACCATCCCCGGATCGATGCTTCGATGCCAAGTGGCACCAAAGCTTCGCGCGTGGTGTCCACCACCTCGGTTGCCACCTTTCACCTCTACATCGACTGTTATTGCCTCGTCTACCGGATCGCCATTGCTGCTATCTCCCCCGGTTGCTCCGCGACGCCCTCGGCGACCCGAGGCTCATATTCGCCGGTGTCCGAATCACCTTTGATACACTCAAGCTGAGCGAGGACTATGATTTGAAGGTAGAGATGTCGCCGGATCTAGCGAAACTGGCAGTGAGATGAACCAGAGGAAGTTGAAGAGAACGGGTTTGAGATGCTGGTGAGGGATCTCAAGTAGTGAGATCTGGATATCGTGGGAAATTTTGCTGGGCAAGTGAGAATTTCAAATATTGTTAATCCCGTCTTGAATTGCACTACATGTGATGGGATTTTTCTATTTTCTAATCGCACATTGTCCTATCCTATCCCAATCCAAATCCGAACAACCAAACGTATAGAAGATGCAAAGAGAAATTTTTTGAAAAGACTACTCGCTGTTCTTTGTATACAAGATCCAGGATAAAATCAGAAGAGTCTCAGCATCAGTTGGGTCATAGTAACTCGTACATATGGAATCATAAATCAGCAGAACTTCGCTTCCACACGAGAGATTACATCAGTTCCATCTCATTCTGAGTTCTGACTTATTTTCGTGTGTACATGATTAAACACTTCTTGCGTATATTGTCAGTCGAGAAAAACGGATAACTTATGCAGGAAACAAGATTAGGAGGATAAAAAGGAAAAGAATTTGGCTGTTTGGTGGCACATACAACAATTTATTTGGCATTATGACCAGAGTAATAGCAGAAATTCTTCTGGTAGTTAGTGAGCACAAGCCAACTAATGAAATTACTGTGTTGATATCAATTTTCTGTTACAATTGTTCTTACTGCATCTGATTCAAGTCAACTTTGCTGCCTCAACACATGAATCAAACTACATCAGAATCGAGTTAAAAAGCTGAACCACATAAAAGTACACCGGATATTTAAAGTCGAAACCATGTAAAGTTATGCTGTATACCCAATGACTCATATAATTTGGATCAGCAATCGCCAGTACATGGGCAGATTACTTCCCAAGCCCGACCGTAATAGGTCTGAATGAATTTTTGTTGTTGTTTAGTTCAGTTATTACTGATCCTAGCCTTGACAGAATGCTACAAATCTTGTGTCCCCTCGACCGGAAATGTGGCAACACTTGCTCATCACCATTTGACAAAAGAAGTCCTTTCTGTGTACAATAATGCATACTAGTTTAATGAGCCTTCCTGAATCATGCATTATTATGCAGGGATTAAATAAGTTAGGCACCATTCTTTTATTCCTCTAGAGGTGAGACAGTGACCTAACGCCGCTCGTGCAATAATTTTCTGTGCTGCAATACATTATTGAAATTATGATGAGATGAGTTGATCCACATCTGGTCTCTTATTTCATTGGAAAATGAGCAGGGTGGCAGGAGACACTGCGCAAACATCGGAGAACAAAGGATTCTGATCCAATTCAAAATCGTGTTAGGACACATGAGTCTAGGAATTTTGATTCTCTTTGCCTCCCTTCTCTCCTTTATATATATATCCGAGGTCTTGCCATGGCCAAGAGAAGGCGATCCCAATTCAATTGCCTCTGAAAAGATTTCAGTAACTAGATCTACTCTCAAACGATGGCTTCACCAGCAATCCCGAAATCCCACTTTCATGCTCGCTCCGTGAGCTTGCCTTCCAAGCCTAACCCACTCGTTCCTCAAGCAGAGGATCACTTGGAGAGGATCAGGAATTCAGAAGCAGCCATCACTTGTTCAATTTCATCGTTGAGCAGCAGGATAAGCAGTCTCGCGGACTTTTACGACTCCATCGATGACTTGCTTCTCTTGCCACATACCCAACAGGCCTTGGTTCAAGAGGGACGTGACGAGGTGCTCAAGAGATCCCTCGGTCTCCTTGACATTTGCAGCATCAGCAAAGATGTCGTAGCACAGACAAAGGAAACTGTGCAGGAGCTACAATCGGCGTTGCGCAGGAGACGGGGCGATGAAATGGCGCTGAGAAATGAGGTCGGGGTATACTTGGCCTCTCGGAAGAAAGCAAAGAAGACTATTCAAGCAGTTTTGAAGATCAAATCGACCATCTCTCCTGCGGATCAAAGCTGTGTGACTTTGGTTTCCATGTTAAGAGAAGCGGAGGGAGTTGCTCTCAAGACGATCGAATCTTTGTTGACATTGGTACGCGGACAGTCGAGCCGCTCTTTCTTCTCCAAGTGGATGGATTCCAACCGAGTGGCGGCCGATGAGAGAGCGTCCAACAGAGAATTAGAGATCGTGGACGCTGCGGTTGATACCCTCCTAAGCCACAAGAGTGGAAAAGCAAGTAAAATCCAAATGGAAAATGTACAGAAAGTGTTGGCAGAACTTGAGCCCCACATTCAGGACCTCGAAGAAGACATGGAGCGCCTGATCAGGCGCCTGATCAAAACCCGAGTGTCCCTCCTCAATATCCTCAACCACTAGTCTGAGAAGTCATGAATCCTGGGATGTATAGAAATGTCTAGCACATGTGTAGTACAGATTTTTTTTTGTCCTACTTGTATACAACTCAACGTGTACAAACTAATACAGATCCGATCTTCTGCCAAATTAAGCTGCTTCACATCTTTTTCCTTATCTTCCTCTTTCGCTGATTCATTCGACATGTATTTCGTTGTCTGAATATCCTATCAAGCTAACATAATGCGAATATTTGATGTCATCATTCCTTCAAAGTGGCTATCTTAATTCAATGAGATGAACGAAATCTGAGATGATTACCAGTATATCATTAACTAAATTGTCGATTAAATCGTCTTATTTTTATGTCACTTTCAATTGGCAGAAATTAAATGTTTTAATCTGAACAATGTTATTATCCATCAAACTCTGAAAGAGAACAAACTCTCATCCAAACAACGATTACTGAAGGTGCTAAACACCAGTGTTGCAGATTTTACAGGAATTTCATGATCTATGTATACAAGGAAGAGACTGAGGTCCGAGAGACATTTGGGCTGTTCTAGCTTATCAGCATTAATAACTGAAACCTATCAACGAGATACTTCTGCAGCATAAATAAGCAGATGTGCAATATCATTAAGTTCATTTTAAGGATAGTCAGACTGCAAGAAAAGAGGTAATCAAGTATAATCCTGGATTAGAAGGCAGCATGAGACATCGCCAAGCGTTAAGCGGTAAGCCAACTAGTGGAAACATTATCAATGAAAACCGAAGAAAATCAGAGATACTCTTTTAAATGAATAACATTGAATCATACATCAATGGTCATTTAATTGATTTTTCTCATATCACATATTAATGGTCTGTTCCACTGATCAATCTCATGCTTAATATCCAACCATGGTCACGACACAATGCCTTGAGACAAGTCGACCAAAATTCCCCCATTGGCAAGGTCTCCACCCATTATTAGCCGGTGGCTTAGCCCACAAGGATATCTTGAAACCTTGATAAAGTACTGATTTTCGATATAGAATTAGCCAAGTAGTTGAAGTCCTCTCTATCAAATGCATAAGATTATCTGTGTTTGACCAAGTTTATGCAGTTAGAAAGATGAGCCTCTGCTATAATCGACTCGCGAGTTTTTGGGACTCTCTGCATCAACTCCACATCTCGAAAAATCAAAGCTCGCCCTTGAATACTTATCGCTCAATACCCGCATGATTATATTTTAAAACCTATCCATTAATTGTGATTTAGCACGGCGTCGACTAGCCGCTCTAGGTCAACCTTTTCCATGAAGTGCATATTATTACCAGTAATTTTCTCGTGTTGTTTTCTTTCTGTCCCTAGACATTCAGCCAATGAAAAAAACATCCATTGCTAATTTCGAAAAGTTGTATTTTCATCTTATAATGAAAACTCACTTTCCACAGGTTGTGCAAATGCATTGCCATGTCTACATCTGTAATACGCATTCGGAAACCCAATTCCTTGACTATTTAACTTCTAGTTCTTGTCAAATTATGTAAATGGAGTGGATGGTGGGTCTTGACTCTTGAGACTGTTGTGCACTGCCATCGGCCAACTGCAGGGAAACCGGATCAATTTTCTGTAACTTGAAATCAATTACCCTAAAAACAACTTCTGCAAGAATCACTAACGCACAACAAAGTCAGTGTACATCATAACATAGAAGCATACAACCTCAAAATCCTCATGGAACGGCTCCTCACATCAGACATGTACCATACATAATTGCATCAAAAAGAAAATCCCATACTGGGAAAAGAGAGCGCTTATTCAGTATTCACCAACAGAATTACGTAATTCCACGATCATAAATACACCAAGAAGAATGGCAATTGTTAGTCATAGAAATGGAAAATTATTTTAAAAAATTGAAGCTCTCCACCCCTGGTGTAGATCAAAGCTTCATTTAGGCATTTAGTGGGAAAATAAAGAACAACTTATCTGCTAAACTTTCTAGCCAAGAAATTCGCGAAGCAGGGCTACCGCAAGGTCTGAGGCAAATCTTTCATCTCTTAGCTATATGAACGGAGTGTGACATGCAGATGCCTCGCAAAACAGCAGAACGGCTCTTGTATTACAAATCTTTCTGCTCACATGGAACACGCACAAATAATTGGCCATTCAGGGTGACCACAGCAGATGTCTGGTGTCTATCAATTCTTGATGGTGAGCTGAGTCAGCTGATGACCTGCAAGAAACCGCTTCCACTGTCAAATTTACAATTGTGCAAACATCTCAAATATACTGCAGAGTGGCGGGAGACACTTGCTCATCACTATTTGACAAAAGAAATTCTCCGTTCTATGGTTAACGCAGTAATGCATAATACGTAAATGAGCCTTCCTGAATCATACATTATTATGTAGGACTAAACAAGTTAATCATCATTGTTTTATTCCTCTAGAGGTGAGACAGTTTCCTAGCACCATTCGTGGAATAATTTTCTATGCTGCAATACATTATTGAGATAATGATGAGATGGGTTGATCCATATTTAATCTCTTAATTTGTTGGAAAATGAGCAGGGTGGTGGGAGACACTGCACAGACATCGGTGAACAAAGCGTTCAGATCCAATTCAATATCATGTCAAGACACATCGAGTCTAGGAATTTTGATTCCCTTTGCCTCCCCTTCTCTCCTTTATATGCATGGTCTAGCCACGGCCAAGAGAAGGCTATCCAAATTCAATTGCCTCTGGAAATTTTCTGTAACAAGATCACCTCTCAGACAATGGCTTCACTAGCAAACCCAAAATCCTACTTTCATGCTCGCTTTGTGAGCTTGCCTTTCAAGCCTAACCCGCTCATTCCTCAAGCAGAGGATCGCTTGAGGAAGATCAGGAGTTCGGAAGCAGCCACCACTTGTTCATTTTCATCGGTGAGCGGCATGATAAGTGATGTAGCTAGCAAGGATCACCTAGAGGGGGGTGAATAGGTGATCTAAAACAATTTTTAGTAATTTATGCGGAAACAAAATAAATCACGAAGAGTCCGAATAAAATTCAGATTCAAGACAGATTATATAGACGGTGCTCTTGATGTGCAGAATGTAATGTAAGAGATAAGGGATAGAGAATCTGCACACAAGTTTATAGTGGTTCGGCTTATAGCAAGCCTACGTCCACTCTCCCACGCTTACACTACGGTGGATTTCACTATGTAATCAAGAGGAATTACAACTTCGAGTGTTAACACTCTTGTGTATGATAGGACTCTCTATCTCACACAATTACCCTTACAAAGTGTCCATCAAGATCTTAATGTTTTGCTCGTAACGACAAGAGAAATGATTGGAGTATGCTCGACTTTGGACTTGTTGATTCTTGATTCCGTACTTCCTTCCGCTCGCTCATAGATCTCCTTAAATACTCCTCTACTTCCAAAACTAGCCGTTGGACAAAGCATTCGAGGATCATCTTCCAATCTTCACCTTGGACAGATTTGTATAGAAAGGATTGAGTAGCCGTTGGATAACGATTCTGAATCCCGCCGATTCTGTCGCCCATACAATCGAATCTTGGTTTCCATAAGTAGAGCTTTGTCCGTTGTAATGCATTCTTGTCATGATGTTTGATTGTCAATCAACTTGATTAAGATTGAGACAATCGAACATTCCTTCGTGAAATCCATTGTGGATCTTCAAAAACATACTTGACAGATTGTAAAGTTTGAATAACTTTCTTCTGAGCTTCCAGAATATACAGACCTGGAATAAAATTGTTCAGAATAAGTATCAGATTTACAATAATATAGAAGGTTTTGTCAACTTCAAAATCAATAGGAGTTTTCCTCAACAATAAGCGGTCTCAAGGACTTTTACGACTCCATTGATGACTTGCTTCTCTTGCCACATACCCAAAAGGCCTTGTTTCAAGAGGGCTGCGACGAGGTGCTCGAGAGATCCCTGGGTCTCCTGGACATTTGCAGCACCAGCAAAGATGTCGTAGCGCGGACAAAGGAAACTGTGCAGGAGCTACATTCGGCGTTGAGCAGGAGACGGGGCGATGAACTGGCACTGAGAAATGAGGTCGGGGCATACTTGGCCTCTAGGAAGAAAGTAAAGAAGACAATTAAAAAACGCTTGAAAATTTTGAAGATCAAATCGACCATCTCTACTGCAGATCAAAGCGGTGTGACAATGGTTTCCATGTTAAGAGAAGCGGAGGGAGTCGCTCTCAAGACAATCGAATCATTGTTGACATTGGTACACGGAAAGTCGAGCCGCTCTTCTTCTCCAAGTTGATGCATTCCAACCGAGTGGCAGCCGATGAGGGAGCGTCGAATAGCGAGCTAGAGATCGTGGATGCTGCGGTATATGCCCTCCTAAGCCACAAGAATGGAAGAGCAAGTAACATCCAAATTGAACATGTACAGAAAGTGTTGGCAGCACTTGAGTCCCACATTCAGGACCTCGAAGAAGAGATAGAGAGCCTGATCAGGCGCTTGATCAGAACCTGAGTGTCCCTCCTCAATATCCTCAACCACTAGTCTGAGAAGTCATGAAATTTGGGATGTAGAAATGTCTAGCATATGTGCAGTACAGATTTTTGTATTACTACTTGTATAGAATTCAAAGAGTATAAATTGATACTAGTCCGATCTTTTGCCAAATACTAACAGAATGCAAATATTTGATGTCATCATTCCTACAATGTGGTTATCTTAATTCAATGAGAACAACGAAGTCTGAGATTATTACCAGTATATCGGTGACTAAAATGTCAGTTAAATCGGCTTGTTTTCACATCACTATCAATTATAGCAGAAAATTATATGTTTTAATCTGAATCCATTAAACTCTGAAGAAGAATAGAATCTCATATAGTCAATGATTCGTGAAGGTGCTAAACACCATCAGACCCAGAGTTGCAGGTTTTGCAAGAATTTTATGATCTATGTCTACAAGGAAGACGCCTTGGGTCCGAGATACATTTGGGTCATCCTAGCTAATCAGCAATAATAACTGAAACTTATCAATGAGACACTTCTGCAGCATAAATAAGCAGATGAGCTGACTTTTATGACTAGCGGAAACACGAGACCGCTGAGTGTTAAGCAGTAAGCCAACTAGCGGAAAAATTATCAAAGAAAACTGAAGAAAAAATGGTACAACATTCATTTTATTCGCTAAATAGTCAGATGGATAAAGGCATCTGCAATACAGAAATGTGGTTTGTTCCATGGAATTATTTCACATGCCCGCATTAACACGGTAGCCTCCGTAATGGCAGGATGAGCGGGATGGAGCAAACCAGAAATCCTAATGTTTGTCAACCAATACAATCACAATAATTTGTCAGCAATCAGAAAAATATAAAATAAGAAAGTATAGAGATCTCTCAAATGGTGGTAGACTTCATCATTAGTGCCCCTCGTGCACAAAGTTAATTTTATCTCTCTGCAGCACGTTTTGCTGAACAATGACTTCCAAGAGTTCCTCTGTTGTTACATTATGTTCAGGTAATTTGAAGATGAGCTGGTATCTTGGGGGAAGGAGACAACGCGTGAACATCTCCCATGTGGCGTTTTAACCGAATGAAATTTGTTCCAACATGTAGATTATAGTATTCCTTTTGTGCTTATTCGACGAGCATTAGATTAGTTTGAGAGGATTACTGCATTATCATGTAGGGTCCAACAAGATGGCAAAATTTTTTTCTCCCTCGAAAGGCGAGATAGGGTCCTAGCACTGCTCATGCAATATTTTCCTACGCAGCACGCAGTGCAATACATTGTTGAGCTTATGATAATTTTGATCCATAATTAGTCTCTAATCCATTGGAGGATGAGAAGGGTGATGAGGGACACTGCGCAAACAATGGTGAACAAAGCATTCAAATGCAATTCAATATCATGTTGGGGACTCATTGATTCTAGGAACTTCGATTCCCTTTGCCTCCCCTTCTCTCCTTTACACACACACACACACACACACACACACACAGAGGCTTGCCATGGCCAAGAGAAGACGATCCGATTAAATTGCCTCTGAAACATTTCAGTAACAAGATCACCTGTCAGACAATGGCTTCACCAGTTAATGACTTTTTTGATGCCTGATAATTTATTATGCACACGTAAGGGCTCGCTCAACAGATGATTTACAGATATGGCAGTCAAAACCGCTTCAAAGTCAGAAGATGCAATAGGAAAAACCCTTGAAAAGACTAGTTGCTGTACTTTGTATACAAGACCCAGGATAAAATCAGAAGAGTCTTAGCAACAGTTGAGTCATAGTAAGTTGTTCATATGGAATCATAAATCAGCAGAATTTTGCCTATACATGAGATATTACATCAATTCCATCTCAATCCAAGTTCTGACTAGTTATTGTGTGTATAAGAAAAAATATATGGCTCAACAGAAGGTATCTTTAAGAAAGTATTCCTTCAGATCTTGTGTACCCTTGACCAGATATGTGGCAACACTTGCTCATCACCATTTGACAAAAGCTATTCTCCTTTTTATAGTTATACAAGAATGCATAATAGTTTAAGGAGCCTTCCTAAATCATGCATTATTATGTAGATTTAAACAAGTTAAGCATCATTATTTATTCCTCTAGAGGTGAGACTGTCCGAGCACCACTCGTACAATTATTTTCTAACGATGAGATGAGTTGATCCATATTTAGTATATTAATTTCATTGGAAAATGAGTAGGGTGGTGGGAGACACTGCGCAGACATCGGTGAACAGAGCATCAGATCCAGTTCAAAATCATGTTAGGACACATTGAGTCTAAGAATTTTGATTCCCTCTGCCTCCCCTTCTCTACTTCCTATATATGCATGGTCTTGCCTTGGCCAAGAGAAGGCGATCCAAATTCAATAGCTTTAGAAAAATTTTGGTAACTAGATCACCTATCAGACAATGGCTTCACCTGCAAACCCAAAATCCCACTTTCATGCTCGCTCTGCGAGCTTGCCTTCCAAGCCTAACCCCCTCATTTCTCAAGCAGAGGATTGCTTGAGGAGGATCAGTAGTTCGGAAGCAGCCACCACCAGTTCCTTTTCATCGGTGAGTGGCATGATATGCGGTCTCGCGGACTTTTACGCCTCCGTCGATGACTCGCTTCTCCTGCCACATACCCAACAGGCCTTGGTTCAAGAGGGCCGCGACGAGGTGCTTGAGAGATCCCTCGGTCTCCTGGACATTTGTAGCACCGGCAAAGATGTTGTAGCACAGACAAAGGAAACTGTGCAGGAGCTACAATCGATGTTGCGCAGGAGACGGGGTGATGAACTGGCACTTAGAAACGAGGTCCAGGCATACTTGGCCTCTAGGAAGAAAGCAAAGAAGACAATTCAAAACTGCTTGAATAATTTGAAGATCAAATCACCCATCTCTTCTGCAGATCAAAGTGGTGTGACAATGGTTTACATGTTAAGAGAGGCGGAGGGAGTTGCTCTCAAGACGATCAAATCGTTGTTGACAATGGTACATGGAAAGTCGACGAGCTGCTCTTTCTTCTTCAAGTGGATGCATTCCAACCGAGTAGCGGCCGATGAGAGAGTGTCCAACAGCGAATTAGAGATTGTGGACGCTGCACTCGATGCCCTCCTAAGCCATAAGCATGGAAAAGCAAGTAACATTCAAACGGAACACGTACAGAAAGTATTGGCAGAACTTGAGTCCCACATTCAGGACATCGAAGAAGAGATGGAGTGCCTGATCAGGCGCTTGATTAAAACCCGAGTGTCCCTCCTCAATATCCTCAACCACTAGTCTGAGAAGTCATGAATCCTGGGATGTAGAGCATATATGTAGTAGAGATTTTTGTTGTACTGCTCGTATACAACTCAGAGATGCAAATTTATACGGATCCGATCTTTTGCCAAACCAAGTTGCTTCACTTCTTTTTCCTTCTCTTCCCCTCATGCTGATTCATTTGACATGCATTTCGTGGTCTGAATATCCTATCAATACTAACAAAATGCAAATATTTGATGTCATCATTCTTACAAAGTGACCATCTTAATTCCATGAGAAGAACGAATTCTGAGATGATTACCAGAATATCGGTAACTAAAATGTCGGTTGATTCGGCTTATTTTTATATCACTATCCATTATAGTGGAAAATTAAATGTTCTAATCAGAACAATGGCATTATCCATCAAACTCTGAAAAAGAATAAAATCTCATCTAACCAATGATTTATGAAGGTGCCAAACACCAACCGATCCAGTGTTGCAGGTTTTACATGAATTTTATGACCTATGTATACGAGGAAGAGACTGAGGTCCGAGAGACATTTGGGTCATCCTACCTTATCAGCATGAATAACGCAAACAAATCAATTAGATACTTCTACAGCACAAATAAACAGATGTGCTAAATCATTAAGTTCATGTTATGGATTGTCAGACTGCAAGAAAAGAAGTAATGAGGTATAATCCTGGATTAGAAGGCAACAAGAAAACATTGCTAAGCGTTAAGCAGTAAGCCAACTAGAAGAAACATTATCAAAGAAAACCAAAGTAAAGATGGTAACACATCCGTTTTATTTGCTAAATAGTCATATGGATACAGGCATTTGCAATACAGAAAAAACGTTAGTTCCATTGAATTATTTCATATGCCTGTATTAATACAGTACTCTCTGGATTGGCAGGATGAGCTGGATGGAGGGAACTGGAATTCGTAATGTTCCTTTATGCAATCACGATAATTTGTCAGAAATTATTGATATAAGCAAGAAAAAATAAAATAAAAAAGTACAGAGAAAATAATATTTTTCATCTCTTGAATGGTGGTAGTCTTTTATCATTAATGCCCCTCGTGCACAAAGTTAATTTTATCTTTCTGCAGCACACTTCGCTGAACAATGACTCTTAAGAGTTCCTCTGATGTTACATATGTTCGGGTGATATGAGCTGGTACCATGTGGGAAGGAGACAACGCATGAACATCGCCCATGTGATGTTTTAATCAAATGAAATTCATTTCAACACCGCTTGATGCATGATGAATTTAGTATTCCTTTTATGCCTATTTGTCGAGCATTATTATGTAGGATCCAACATGTTAGCGTGATTCTTTTTTTCCCCTCGAGAGGCGAGACAGGGTCCTAGCACCGCTCGTGCAATAATATCATATGCAGCACTCTCTGCAATACAATATTGTGCTTATGATAATTAGTCTGTAATTCATTGGAAAATGAGAAGGGTGGTGGCGGACACTGCACAAACATCGGTGAACAAAGCACTGGAATTCAATTCAAAATCATTTTACGGACTCATTGATTCTAGGAACTTTGATTCCATTTGCCTCCCCTTCTCTCCTTTACATATATGTAGAGTCTTGCCATGGCCAAGATAAGGCAACCGGATGCAATTGCCTCTGAAACATTTCAGTAACAAGACCACCTCTCAGACAATGGCTTCACCACACCCGAAATCCCACTTTCACGCTCGCACGGTGAGCTTGCCTTCGAAGCCAAACCCACTCATTCCTCAAGCGGAGGAGCACTTGAGGAGGATCAGGAGCTCGGAAGCCATCACATGTTCATTTTCATCGGTGAGCGACACGATAAGCAGTGTTGTGGACTTCTACGACTCTGTCGAAGACTTGCTTCTCTTTCCAAATACCCGACATGCCTTGGTTCAAGAGGGCTGCGATGAGGTGCTCGAGAGATCCCTCAGTCTCCTGGACTTATGCAGTACTGGCAAAGATGTCATAGCACAGATGAAGGAAAACATCCAGGAGCTACAATCCATGTTGCGTAGGAGACGGGGTGATGACCTGGCACTGAGAAACAAGGTCGAGGCATACTTGACCTCAAGGAAGAAAGCAAAGAAGACAATTCAAAACTGCTTGAAAAATCGGAAGATCAAATCGACCTTTTCTTCTGCGGATCGAAGCATTATGACAACAGTTTCCATGTTAAGAGAAGTGGAGGAAGTCACTCTCAGGTCAATTGAATCACTGTTGACATTGGTACATGGAAAGTCGAGAAGCTGCTCTTTCTTCTACAAGTTGATGCATTCCAAGCGAGTGGCAGCTGATGAGAGAGCATCTAACAGCGAGCTAGAGGAGGTGGATTTGGCTGTTCACACCCTCCTAAGCCACAAGAATGGAAAGCCAATCCACATGGAATGCGTGCAGAAAATATTGGGAGAGATAGAGTCCAGCATTCAGGACCTCGAAGAAGAAGTCGAGCGCCTGATCAGGCGCTTGATCAATCCTCAACCACTAGCTGGCAATTCATGAATTCTAGGAAGTAGAAGTGTCTAGCCTATGTATAGTACATATTTTTGTTGAATTACTTGTATAGAACTCAAATATTACAAATCAATACAAATCAAATCTGCTGCCAAACTAAATTGCTTCACTTTACATTTTTCTTTTCTCCGATGGCTGAAGCATTTGACAATTAAATGATTGATTGCACAGGGAAATTCTGTGTCAAATAATTCTATCAAACCAACAATGCGCAAAACATTGATGTTGTCCTTCCTCCAAAGTGGTTGTCCTAATTCGACGAGAAGAATTAAATCTAAGGTGATTATCAGTAACGGGTGACTAAGATGTTGATTTAAATGGGCTTATCATTGCATCAATATCAATTACAGAAGAAAGGCTAATGCTTTAATCTGAACAATCTTAATATTTACCACAAACTATAAAAATGAACTAAATCTCATGTCATCATGATTCCTGAAGGTTCCAAACACCATCTCCCAGGCACCTGGTAAAAGTATTACAGCTTTTACAGGAACTTTTGATCTATTTAAGTATGATATACAAAGAAGAGACTGTGGTCCGAGAGACATTTGGTCCATCCTAGCTGAAGAAGAAACCACTGAGACTTATCAACAAGTGCCTCTGTAGCGTAAAACAGAAGATGGGTAAAATTATTACTTTAAGGTTATGGATGGTTAGACTGTGCATATAAAAAAAGTATTAACATGGATTTGAAGGCAACAGGAAACATTGCATAAGCCAACTAGTGGAAACATTATCAGAAGAAAAAAACCACGGAACAAGGATAAAATAATCATATGCTTTGCCAAATAGTCAGATGAATTATAGACATTTGCAATACACAGAAAAAGTGAGCTTCATGGAATTATTTCACATGCCTACATTAAGATGGTCTTCTCAGGAACAGCAGGACGAGCTGGATGGGGAGAATCGGCTTCCTCGTATGTCAGCAATTACTGCTATAGGCAGGCAAAATGAGATGAATAAGTGCAGAGAAATTTTTTTTGTGTGTCTCTAATCACGGAAGAACTTCATCATTAACGCCGCTCGTGTGCAAACTTATTTTTATCCTTTCCACTGCTCGTTATGTGGAATAATTAATGCCAAGAGTTCCTCTGTTGTTACATTATGTTCAGGTGACTTAAAGATGAGCTGGTATCTCGTGGGAAGGAGACACCGCATAAACATCACCAACATACTGTCTTAATCAAATGAAAATCATTCCAACTCCATTCATGCATGAAGAATTGAGCACGACAGTCGCTGTCTGTTGAGATATGATTGATCTCATAGACTAATTTATTGGCGTAAGGGTGATCAATAGATTCAAATCTCGACAGAAGATGTTTCCTTTCTGAAAAAAAAAAAAAAAACAGTAGTTACAAGCTAATTTAGTCTAATGAATGTGGGAATCTGCTGTGTCTGGTCATTGAAGACAAGGTTGTTGACTTGCTCGTGCATCACAAATCTTACGGATCATTACACATTACTACCATGCATGCTTTGTTGGTTTTAGGGAATTGTTTAGTGGCGTTACGAGCATGAAAACCAGCTGGTCGGAAACACTGTAAGAACATTGATGAGACGGGTGTGAATTCTGATAGAAATACTGTTTCCAATCATTCAATTGCGAAGAGAAGGAGATTCATCCTGTCTCATACCATACGACTATATATAGAGAGAGTAGCTATTCAATTTCAGGGGACTTACCAGACTGATTACATAGAAACATACCTTTGAGAGAAAAAGATGGCTTCCCTTCCTCCAAATCAAACTACTGGTTACCACACCCGCTCAATCAGCTTGCCTTTGAGAACTAACCAGTCGATTCCCGACATAGACAATCATCTGCGCAGATTAACGTCCTCCGAGGCCACCACTTCATCGTCTTCTTCTTTGGGTGACAAATTGATTGCCCTTGGAGATCTGTATGAGTGTGTTGACAGCATGCTTCAGCTGCCACACACTCGCCAGTCAATAGCCCGTGAGCACAACAAGGACTGGGTTGAAGAGCTGTTGAATTCGTCTCTCTGCTTCTTGGACTTGAGCAGCACGGCTAAGGATGTGCTGATGCAGACCAAAGAGCAAGCGCAAGAGCTACAATCGACCTCACGTCGCAAGAGAGGCAATGAACAGGAGATGGTCAAGGAAGCTGAGAAGTACTTGACCTCTAGGATCCAGGCCAAAAAGGTAGCCAACAAGTCCCTGAGAGACTTAAAGAGCAAATGCGCCTTTTCTTCCTTCAACAGCAAGACACCAGCCACATTTAGAATGCTAAGACAAGTTGAACTGGTCACTGTTGCGGTGTTCGAATCCTTGTTTGCCTTCATACGCGCAAATAAAGCACTATCAAAACAATGTGTCCGGTCCTTGATTTCGAAATTGATGAACTCCTCCAAGCGGGTCACTTGTGATAAAGAAGCGACTGCGCTCAGTGAAGTTGAGAAGGTAGATGATGTATTGCAAGCCTTCGTCAGCCGCAACAATGGGAAATCTAACAATGTGCAGACCGAAGACATTCAAAATGAGCTGAGACAATTAGAGCTAACCCTTCAAGATCTTGGGGAACAGCTTGAATTCATTGCCCGACGGTTGATCAGAACTAGAGCATCAATTCTCAATATCCTCAACCATTAGTTCATGAAGATCACGACAATGTGAGTCAGTAGGACATCTTGTATAGAAATCCGCGCTGCGGCTTAAGTGTACATAATTACAATGTTCACTAACACTCTGAAAGGAAAGCAACACACTGAAAGAAAATATATCTTGATCATTTCTCTTTCTGTTACATGTCTTTGCTTTAGGAATAAATTTTACAAGATCAAAATCCTGACTATAGCAGGCTTCAAGAAGATGGACAAATTGCCTGTTCAGTTCCTGAATCACCATGAAATGATACAGTCAAAGAGGGAAAGAGAACAAATTTGATTATTTTCAAGTTGCAGAGTTTTGAATTTTCTTTGTTAATGGACTATGTAATTCAATCATATTTGGTTTGTGTGTTTTAATTGGGTTATCATTGAAGGAAGGGATCTGAATACTTAAGTTTAAAACAGAAACCAAAGCTGTCAAGATTCCATCTGTCTGGGAGACGACAACTTAAGTATGCATTGATCACCTCAATGAAATGCACATGATAAGACTCAAATCTCATCCTCTAAAGTTTTAAGAAATTAACTGTGTCCTCTATAATGAGTAACATCTAACATGTTAACCTCGTTTCATTATAAGCTTTGTGAATCAAGAATACACAGAGAAATTCAAGTCTCTTGCTCCCATCGGAATAACTTTAATGATGTGATCTTGTTAATGAGTGCCCATAGGACACTTTGCATTGATGCTGAGTAAGAAAATGTTAGTTTTTCTCTATGCGTTGACTTTTCTTGTGATAGGTGCAATAAATGATTTGAAAATTGAACATTTCTTTATTGTATATACTCAATAAATTTCCTGAAAACACTCTTTCTTGCTATCACTCATAGATTTATCGCATTTTATGCGCGCATTAATGAATCAAAAAGGTGGGAGCAAGTAGTCCTTAGACAAGATTGCAAGCAAGCACATCCATCCCATAATTGATAATATGCCAATGTCACCCACGGTCAAGAATGGGCTTCCCCCATCGTCGTTAAAATCAAAACGGGCACACATTTTCAAAGTCTCTGCATTAATCAATCAATGGCAAATTCGAGAACGCCATGAACATGCAATTGACACGACAGTGACGTTCCAGGGTGATGACCCAACTGATAATTACCGAGGAACTCAGGAAGTATGTGGAAAGATAAGGATGAAAAGCTTACTTTTGACATTTATACTTTGAATTGGTCCAAACCATTATGATAATCAAAGCCTCCCTGCAACCCACCAACTCCTCCTTTATGTCCCATCTCGATGAGTATGCATGTATCCTCCAGTTAAGTTCAAGACACATGGAGGTTTGTAGGATTAGGGTTGGCAAGTTGGCTGAAATGATTCCTCATCCAAGTGCAATGCATCATGACACTTGAACCTAACCTTTGTAAAGCTAACTTCTGTAGCATTCTTAATCAGTTCAACTTTAAGATTATGCTCATTTGATGCATGGCCGATAGGACAAGGTCAAAAGTTAATCCTGATATTTAGTGTGGTTATTCGAGTTGTGGAGACTGTAGATCATCCGCTCAAATCCTAGCAACTTCTCTAGGTTATTAGAAAAGAAAATTGATCACGATACCAACGACCTTAGCTTGAACATGTATTTGGTTTGATGTAATATAAGTTGAATCTCTGTCTCCCGGTCTTTTTGGGATGAACTCACGAAATGAAAAAGGAAGTTACATGAATGATTTTGTAGGATTACTGTCGATTCTTCCAAAAACTCAAATAGGCAAAGGTGCATTGAAAGATTTGAATTCAGGATTAGCTCTTCCAATACCATGAATGATTTTGTGAGATTATCGATAACTATTCTAAATATTTGATTTGTTAGATGAAAGCTTGGTTTAATATTTGTATATTTCAACCTGAAAAGTTACTTTCCCATAATATGATACTATTGCGATCATATATCACTTTCGACTCCATCTTCCGCCGGAGTAAATATGACAAACAGAGAACCAAATAAAAGATCCGAGCATATTCTCACTTCGGCAGAGCATATCCCAACTTTTATATATGGTTAAGCCTCTATCATCAAAAGCACGTCTTGAAAAAACAGGATATTCAAAAAGGGTGTTTTCCAGGCTAGAGATATTATATCCTGCCGATCATGATCTCGAAGACATAGATGACGATGACGATGACGATGCAATAATGGATCCGTGAGACGATATGTATAGTAAGAGTGGTCGAGATATTAATTCCCAACTCGTTCGATGCACAATGTTGTATTCCAACAGCAAAAATACCGATCTTACTATTCAATCCAACCTCATGAAATTTCAAATTTATGCCATCGTCGTTATAGATCATTGAAAGAAAGATTAATTGGTTTAATTTTTAGAATCGTTGAACTAACATTGATTATATCACTAAAGGAAACACTTTGGTTGGATCCGAGAACTGATGTTTTTATTTTCTAGTATTAGGATACACGTGTGAGTATTGTTATAAAAGTCTAACGTCGGCGAACAGGTGTGGTGTGGAGCAGTTAATATATCATAGTTGGCCCATAACTCATTGATTTAAGTTTTTGAATAAAAGTCCGTCCAACTGGATATATTAACAAGCTCGGATATAGGCTCCCCCTTGACAATCCCCTTAAGTGAATATATCTAACTTCTGCGTGTCTCAACAAACAAGCTCGAATTTTAGCTCTCTTTTAGCGATCTTCCCAAACGAAAGTATTGAACTTCTGCGCATTCTCGATAAATATGCTCGGATTTGGTTTCTCTCTTAACAACTTTTTCAAGTGAAGATATTAATGCAAATGTCCATTTTTTGTACCAAAAGAACAAGCTCTAGGTCAACAACGATTATCCACATTTCTTGACTTCATGGCATTCATGTAGATGGAGCCAAAATGGGTTTTCCTACAGCCGCCCCACGTGCCCTTTTTCTATAGTTAGCAAAGGACAAGATGAGGACGAGCAGCTCCAATAAAAGTGAAACCTAAACATATTTTCTAATCTTGATCGCGAGATATAATGTAAACAGAACCGAGATTTTTTGTCGCTCATACATTAATTTCTCCTCCTATATATTGGACCCAGGAACACCTCCTCGGGTATCATAAAGGTAAACCGAGAAAATGCTCATGATCAAAACCCTAGCGATTCTCTCTCTCCTCTCAGCCCTGACACGCGGCGCCTCTGCCGAGCAATGCGGTAGCCAAGCCGGCGGCCAGATGTGCCCCGGAGGGCAGTGCTGCAGCAAGTACGGGTGGTGTGGCACCACGCCTGAGTATTGCACCGACGGATGCCAAAGCCAATGCGGCGGTGGCGGCGGAGGCGACGTTAGTGGCCTCATCTCGAGAGCTACGTTCAATCAGTTGCTGAAGCACAGGAACGACGCCGGCTGCCCCGCCAAAGGGTTCTACACGTATGACGCTTTCGTCGCGGCCGCGAAGTCGTTCCCGGCGTTTGGAACCACCGGCGATGCCACCACACGTAAGCGGGAGATCGCGGCTTTCTTAGCACAGACTTCCCATGAAACGACAGGTGGGTTCTTTTGGCCGATAATTAGGAGCTCCGGGTTAGAAACTAAATCAGACTTTGAGGTTCAGACTTCACAGTCTACCACATCAGAGACCTTTCATATGCTCATGTTCTGTCTCTAATATCTACAGCTTAGTGAACGCTGAATAACAATTTAATTTAACATTGAACATCTAAACTCATCTTTAAGTATGAATAATACCATCTCAAGTCACTAAAATATCTTCATCTCGGCGGGAAATTTGGCTAATAACGCTCTTCCAATCTTTATAGAACTGATTTAGTTTAGTCCTAACGTGAGTATAACTGTATAAGTATCCGATTCTTCGCTTATTAACATGAGAATGATCAGTAAAACCATGGATTACCGATGCTCATCGACTATTCGTATGTATTACTGATGAAGTAATTAGTCTATTAACCATGATTGATGTTCGATCTTATGGACAAACAGGTGGGTGGGCTAGTGCACCAGATGGGCCATATTCTTGGGGTTATTGCTATCTGAAGGAACAAAACCCAAGCGCCTATTGCTCTCCTAATCCAACCTACCCTTGTGCTCCTGGCAAGCAATACTACGGCCGTGGGCCAATCCAGATCTCATGGTATAACACAGTCTTGTTATTGGCCCATAATTTTAGCCCATCACTAGCATTAATGTTGTCAAGAGCTTCAAGATTGTTTTTGTCTACTTGTCTTGATTGCTGTTGTAAGCAATTGCTATAACCAAGGACCGATCTCTTAGGAACTACAACTATGGGAGATGCGGCCAAGCAATAGGAGTGGACCTCCTCAGGAACCCGGACCTGGTCGCGACCAACCCGGTTGTCTCGTTCAAGACGGCCATCTGGTTCTGGATGACCCCGCAGTCGCCCAAGCCGTCCTGCCACGACGTCATCACGGGGCGGTGGGCCCCGTCCGCGGCGGACAAGTCGGCGGGGCGGGTCGCGGGGTATGGGGCTGTGACCAACATCATCAACGGAGGCCTCGAGTGCGGCAGAGGGAAGGACGCGAGGGTGGAGGACCGGATCGGGTTCTACAAGAGATATTGCGACATCCTCGGGGTGGGTTACGGCAACAACCTCGACTGCTACAGCCAAAGGCCTTTCGGGTCTGGTCTCCTTGTGGACACCATGTAATTCATAGCAGACTTTGCCTTTGTTGGTGTCCTATACCAATCGTTTGGTCTTTAGATCACATATAATTAGTGGTTGGGGATGATACGACTTATAAAATACGCAATAACGTGAGGAGCTATACCGATTAAGCAAAGTCATGCTTGTTGTCTGTGACTCGTTGTGTATGATTACAATCAATGAAATAAAAACAGCCAGGGTCTTCCTTTGTCTGGTTACGTTGTCGGTTAATTGAATTTTGCCCAAAACATATAATGCACGAACAGAGCTTCACGAGATCAATATACAATTTCTACCTGGACTGTCCCCTCATGTTCTTGTGAAGTCCTCCGTTTCAAATTTGCGAAGAACCAACTCATGATGAAAGACATTCGTCGCAGAGTCTTTCATCCTGTTCTGACGGGCCCGAGGAATTAGATGATAGAGATCACCCTGTTCCAGGCTTCTTTCAGACCAAAATGAAAAAGGAGTATTTATACGGTTCGCTGAGTATTAGAAGCAAATTAGAAAATTTAATGCTTGATGAAATAGTAACTGTTACAATACGCATTAGCCAAAGTTGATCAACTCAACAGAAAACCTACTATGGTTGAGGATTCCGTCTCTCTAATCATGGAGATAATCGGGAACAAAACCTTGCAACTTGCATGTATGGGGCGGCAATGGCTTCGATTCCCACTAGCTATGTTAATATCGAGTTGAGTACTTAGAGAAACCTCAAAGGAACGCTTTGCCATAAGACAGCTTCTGTCGTCCGCGTTTATCACTACATCGGAAACATGATTTTACTACATCGGAAACATGATTTTTCCTCGGTATACATAATCTCGACAAACTTCAGCGATGAATTAAGGAAAAAGGAAGGATTCCCAATTTGATTTGGGACAGAAGTTGTTACAATGGAATGTACAGCCAAGCTGAACTCTTCCTAGCACTAACCTAAGCATGAGAGGCTCCTCACTTATTGGAGCATAAACATAGTATTGATGACTCTGTTAGATAGATGCAAATTCAATTCATGCACAGCCCTTGAAAGTCCAACTCAAAAACTTTTGATGGAGCCCATGGACGAGCGATGTGGAACACTTTTTAACGATCTACAACCACTAAGCTTTGAATTTAACTCAGGTCGATCAACAAATTAGAAGTTCAGAATGTTGGCATAAGGGGTGTTAAAGCCCCCCTGAAGCCAGGGGCTGTTGAACTGAGACCAGAAGCTGTCCTGTGTCCAGTCCACAGGCATCTTGGGCACTTGCAGCTCTGGCAATTTCTCCTTCCCAATTGGCAGTTGCAGTGAAGAGGACGACCCTTTGGTCATCACTTTGTTCTTGTGATATTCTTGTGCGGGGCTTGTGATGAAACCCTGTACTTCCTGTTCATCTTCCACCTCCTCTTGTAGTTCCTGCTTGAACACAACCTTGGACGTGTTCATCGATGGTGTCTGATCGTAAGGCTGAGTGGTGAAGGACGAGGTGGTCTCCATCGGTGAGAATGGAGATGGAGGAGACAGGTGAGCAGTGGCAGCGGCAGCGGCCTTATTCATGCCTTCCTCCATCGCGGCTCTCTGCTCCAGCACTTTCAGGGAGGTGGCCTTCCTGTATATCTTGCACAAAACCAATTCCTGCAATATTTTCAATGGAGAGACATGTGAGAATTGCGTCCTCTGTTTTCGACATCGACTCTGTGTCTTGACCCTTCTTTTCGTTACAATTTTTACCAGATTCTATTGTTCGGTTGGTTTAAGACTCAGGATTTACTTGGGATTTACGGGTTGGGCTCGTTGCCGGTAAAATATGTCATCGCGGCCTAATCAAGTTGATGGCCCATGTCCCTTTCATTTTTTTTCTTGGGGACTAGTTTGGGAAGTCGAAGACAGGCCTCATATTAATAAGGATCATCGAATTTTTTTTGAACTTGGTGGCCAGGCAATCATGTTTTATTTCCCCAATAAGTATCAAAACCGTCAACTAATTTCCTGGAAGCTTCTCTGCAGCTTCAGGCTTGGAAAGTCCTCAGGGCTCTCTAATTGATCCTGGTTTTAATAATTGCAAATTTAGCTTCCTGGCATGTATCAAAGCTTCAAAGACCAGCCTAGTTGCAATTTCCAGGAAAGTCATGGGAAGAGAAAGTACAGTACATTTTTCGAGCCATTTACTCTTCTCATTCTTCAGTTTCTTACTGTACATTTTTGCGGGATTTGCCGATATGTAAGTGTTACGAGATTGATAATGGCGAATATATTAGGTACATTTCCAAATTTTTCCAGGGCAACATAGAAGCAGGGAACATATTAATCCAATTCCAAGTGCTCATTAAAAAGAATATGTACCTTGGGCAACGAGTCATCGGGTAATCTGTACTCGTTCATGACCCAATCCGTCTTGCTTCCCCGCGGCGCCCTTCCCTGGTAGAACACGAGGGTCTTTCTCAGGCCGAGCACCCTCTTGGGGTCCGATAGGCTCACAATCTTCCGGTCCGAGCCGGTGGCCTTCCAGAAGCCGTGCTTGGTGGTCCGGTTCGGCCGACCACCGCTCCCGTGCTTCCTGTCTCTCGGCACAAAGAAGTACCACTCTCTTTCGCCAATCTTCGCCAGTCCTATTCCATTAAAATTAATCTTCAACTTCAAGAACTCAGAGAGAAAAAAAAAATCTTCGGTAATCAGAAAAAAAAAAGAAGAAGAAGCAGAACGTGCTGTTATGTACCAGGCAATTCCCGGGGATCGTAGTTGTAGATGTTCAAGAACCCGATCACGTCGAACCGCAGTTTCTTGTTGGAAATCATGTTCCGGAGGTAAAAGTCGAGGAGCTCCTCCTCGGTCGGGTGGAAACGGAAACCGGGGAGTTCGAGCTCCGGCGTCGGCTCTTCCATCGATGACCGGACCGCGTCAGCCAACCTCCCGGGGTCTAAACACTGGACGAATGTGAAAACTCAAAAACTCTTTGTTTCCCTCTGGTGTTCGATTGTCTATGTTTTGGAGGGCACTGTGTAAATGATGTTGCGCTGCTCGTCCCATCAACGGAAGCATTTATAGCGGGGGAGCGAAAACGAGTCTGGTCGATTAAAATTTAAAATTTTTTCGTAAGTCTTTTTGCTCAGACAGAGAGGAGAGGACTTAAAAAGAAGAGATGACCAGGTCATCGTTCCTGAGCGGGGCCCCTATTCCTGTGCGCAACTGAAGTCACTCCAGCATTGGAAGTTTGTGATGACCGAGGGGTCTTCTTTGCCCCCCCCTCCCCTCCGTTGTGGAACCCACGCGCTTAAGAATCATAAGTCTCCCGGACTTTAACAGGGACGATGTTGATGGGATAGGAGACTCTAGGATTCTCCTTCCTCCTGGTTTTTGGACTTGTTTGCCTGGAAATTCCAGGCTGAGGGAGGGGAGGGATTGGCTTTTTCCAAGCAAATTTCCGCCACATAAGTCGATTTCTATCATTATTATCGCATTAATCTTCTGTAGTGGATCCTGAGTTCGATTAAGCCGTCAGCGACCTCAAGAGCTTGCACCGCATGATCAGAAATCTTGTGTCTCAAGAAGCATGTGATCTCTCTTCTCCAACTGCCATCCATCCTAACTTTCTGTCGTCCAGCCAAGAGAAGGAATTTTCACGACTTTTGTAAGTCTCGGGGCGGAAAACATGATCGATTGTATTACAATTGCCAAGTCTATTTGGCGGGGAAAAATTAGCCAATACGTCTAGCGAGCAAAGATTTCTTTTTTTCATGAAGTATATGTTTACCCTTCAATTTTGCAACCCGTATCGATCTAATTTGTGTTTTTATGCGGTAAATTTATTATTATTTTGCAGTGTTATTTTGAGCGGGTTCGTGTTCGAAATTCTTAGAACACCTGACAAAACAATAGTTGCCTGGTCTCATCAAGAAAAGTGGTTTGGCATGGATTATTGCCATCAAAAGGTGAATCTTCAACCAGGAATTTTGACATCTGCAAAATCTCAATCACCTAGCTCTAATTGCTCAGTGTAAGGAGTAGTGTTTGGCACGAGAGCGGGGAGTGATCGCCAAGGCCAGAGGGTCTGGACAAGGAGGGCTCATGGCAAGCTTTTAGGATGGCAAAGGGGGCAGGAATGAACTGAACTGCGCACCGAACAGAGAGAGAGCATGCTTGAAATATATGTGTAAAAACTGGAATTAACTCTCGGCGCCTACGGCAAGCTTTGCTTTGGAATTTCAAAGTCAATTGTGTTTAGGCTAGAGCACTACCATGATGGGTGACCTCATGGGAAAATGCCTACTTATACGCCAAAAGAGTTTGAAACGGGACGGGTCAAACGAATAATATTCTGAGTGATTTAATATAGGAATGTCACAATATGATATCAGAGCGAGATCTCCTTTAGTAGATGTATGGTTCGGGGTGAATCACACAGAAGCTAGTGAGTTTGTAACGACCCCGATTTGATGAGAGTTTGGAGTTGTCACTGGAGCGAGAGGACCTGGACAAGGAGCGGCTCCCGGTAGGCTTTTAAGATGGCAAATGGGATATAAATGAACCGAATTGCGCATCAAATAGAGGAAGAGCATGCTTGGGATATATATACATGAAAACTGGAATTAACTCATGAATGCGTCTTTTGATGTAACGGCAAGCTTTGTTTTGGAATTCTAAAGTTAAGTGTGCCCAGGCCAGAGCACTACTTCGAGTGAGTTAATCCAAGGACATGTCATTTCTTCTTCTTTTTTCAATTTTTGTTTTTGCCTTGTCTATATTAGGATGTTTGATCTGCTTTATTAATGTTGGTGCACGAACCATGTTGGGGTTTCAACCCAATGAAGTGGTAGAAGCCCCAGCCGCCGCATGCACTGAGCACCAGGAGGTTCGTCTTCACGACTACAGCAACAAAATGGGCATTCATGGTCAGCAATATCAGCAGCAACCAATGCTTATCTCTCTTTATTATGTATTATATTCATGTTTTGCAGCAAACTCTGTTTCCACTGGCGACGAAAGGATGACGAAGCTAACACCATTCGTGTCGCGCCACATGCGATGCGACTTTCTCGCAGTTGCCCATGAATCCTCTGCGAAAGCAGAGGGCACGACCGTCATTAACCGACAACACGAAGTAGAATTAGCCTACAACAACCCACTCTCGCTACTCCCATTTAAATTTGAGTTCTCCCAAACGGGGATCAAACCAACAACCCATCGATTCCAGAGCCGAAAGTATGGAAACGCTCCCGCTTTTTTACCTTAAATTGACATCGAAAGACAGATGATTGTCGAAGCCAAGAGTCATAGTTGCTTCCCCGGCTGTCGTCCCTGCTTTAGTTACGAAAACAATAACTCCAAAGATTACGAAATTCCAACTTCATAGCACTATATTTTGTAGAAGTCATGACTAAAATCAAAGGTGTTGGGTAAAAGTCTCGAAAATTGGTAGCCAAATGCTCTATCTAATTCCTAATTGACTCGCTTGCCCTCAATTATCAAATACGACTAAATTTCAAGGAACGAGACCCTCTCGATTACTTAATTCAACTTGACTTGTGTACGCATGTAGGACATGTAACACAACCTCCCATTAACCTGTCAATTAAAAGGCTCTTGAATTTCTATACCTAAATTCGCCAATAGAGAGGTAGTGGATGAAGCGCCTCCTTTCACACCGTTTGTAACATCCCGCTCCATCTCGCGTGAACCGAATCTTCAGAAACACTATTCAAGACGCGGTTATCTGTTTGAGATTTTATTCACACGTCACTTTAAAAAAGACATTTCGCTTAACCCAAATAAATAACCAAGGGTACAGGTCCATCGAAACTTTGTGTTCCCATTTTCTAAGTGTACACAATAATACTCCCGACAAGGAAATAGGGTGGAAAGGAATGTTGATACTCTTCAAAACCCAAAAAATGTCTCCTCTTCAATTGGGTTTCTTCTCCAAAGTAGAGTTCGAGTTCAGACTACAACAGCAGAACTTGGGCAAGATCCTTAATATTATAAACCCCAAGTGGGATCGTACATACTTTACCGACCCAGATCAAAACAAAAGCGAGAGGCAGTGGATTCCATTGTAATGACCAAGAGTGAAACTGATGTGGGGAAAGACATCATTGAAATCTACAGCCGATATATCTCAATCGAACCGAATCAAGTTCATACAGGCATCCGCGGACTGATTGGGTCTCGGGTCAATTCTCTTCTATTCCGAAAAAATCTTTTAAATCTTGCATGGGGGGCCCCACGCCCATGAAAATTCATAAAATAAAAAAGAAAAAACAGGTGTAGACATTTGCCATTTCCTTATTCCCAGGTTGTCAAATCACAAGTTCCTGGGCAACTCCGCGTTGTATCGTGAGCTGATTTTTAATGTGTTATGGAATTGACGGGCAAAGGGACGAACCATCGTTGTCGAGTCTTTCTCTCTCTCCGTGAATACTTTGACTTGGAAGTCTTCCCTCAAGACCCCAAAAAGAGAGTCTTCTTTCCCCCCCATCCTCGGTAAATGATGATCAGCCCTGAAGAACACAGACTTTCCATTGCTTCTAGTAAAAGCAACCACAATCAAACTTCACCAGCATTCGTTTTTCCTTTCCTTGTTCTAACGACCGAGCGTCGTGAGGCTTCCGAGACGCTTGCAGAGCACAATTGATACAAAATAGTACGCTTTCTAATGCATCGTTTGCACAGGATGTGAGAAAAGTCGGTCCACCAGAAATCGAGAAAGTTTTGTTAGTCGGTCAATTCGTGCTTCCGGGACGATTTTTTAACTAATAAATTCCCTCATTCTAATAGTGCGGTAGGACCGACGAGGCAGTAATTTTATACACAGCACATCAGTGGAGGGGGCCTTCTCTGCAATTTCCTGGCATTTTCTTGTCCCTATAGATCCATAATTGCATGGATCTTTGTGGGATGGCTCCTAGCATCTAATTTAATATCCTTCAAACAGTTCGAGGATTTTAACAGTGTTTGATCAGTCGTTGTTTCCTGATTTGCAATTCCAGTCGTTTGCAGGAAACATCCCGCAATGCTCCTTGCTTGGAACCTAGCCAGAACAATCATTTTTACCAATAAGTATGCCAAGGAAGAACCAGGAAAAGGTCAAAGCTTTGAAGTAGGTTGATGCTTTGCTTGTTGTATACCATGCAATATACCCCTAGAGAAATTGCTTGAGAACCTTCTTCATAATTGCTGGAAGATCGAACCGGATTCTAACCGAGCGATGCCGAGTTCTTTCTCCGAAGATATCGGATCCCTCTCGGAGCAAGATCGGTAGGAGGACCCGTGAGTTGCTTGCAAATGCGTTTTACTTTTTCCGGGAAAATAAAAGAGTATCTTGACTTTTCAAAAGTTACCCAAACAATAAAACACTTGTATGACTAGCCTTAAATGTTTGTATTGTATGCTTTTTATGAGGAAAAATTCTACATTTCATCCCTGTGCTTTAACTATTTTTTTCTAATCAAGTTATTCTGCTTGAACAGAATGTCTAATTAAGTCACTTCAACATAAAATTTGATCAAATTTAGCTAACATGAGTGTCGCAGGGCGCCGGAGTGTGACGTGAATTGAGTAGTGCTTACATAGACACCCACGATACGCCATGAATGGTGAATGGATTAACTTTTTTCAATTTGTTTTTTAGTCTCTCACTAGTTCGATGTCCATGTCCATGATGTTTCTTGTATCCACCTAGGCGATATTTATTCCAAGTTGAGCTCCGGCATCCTCTAACAGCCACGTAAGCTAAAATTAGCTGGACTTTGTGCCGGAGGGACTTGATTAGATATTTTTTTATGAGAAGAATCGAAAGCAACGGGACTGAAAATTAGAATTTTTTTCATTTAAAAATTCGAGTAGAGCCAAAAAAAAAGGAAGAAAGAAAAAGAGGGGATCGTTCCAAAAAACTTGCTAAAATTGAGGCGTTAATGGGGCTGTCCCCAACACTTGACTACGGCCAAGCCTTTGGGCTTTCACCACCAAAGCCATTTTCACATGGAAATGGACCTGAACTTTGGAGTCATCTCCCAAAAAGTTTTCCATGCAACTAACTTCTCAAATCTTCCCTTAGAAGGAGTCAATTGCATCAAATTCACTCACCGAACTGAATTTAATTGAGGGGACCACAATTGGACAGTTTGTGGTAGGCTCTAAGTACTTCCTCTTTTGGTAAACTATCATTTTTATCAATTTTGATAATATCCATGCATGCATAATCCACAAGAACATATGAGTCGAGAGGAGAGGCATGAGCACCCTCATTCACCATATTTCACACCTACGAACATATAATGTCATATCGAAAGTACTAAGTTATTGATTCATGCATGTTTCGGCATGAACTTTCGGTCCGTTTATTTACCTTTTTTCCTAGGAATGTCTTAATGCTATAATTATGCTCGTACCACATGTGAGAAAGTATTCCGTGAATGGTGGTTCCGCTGTTGCTAAACCATGCCAAATATGAACTATTAAAGATTCTAAACCCGATTAGCAAATAAAGAGCGTTTAGATTCCTGTCTAAATAGAGCCCTCTTTGGGAATCATAGAAAAATTAGATAATTACTTTCAAAAGCATAATGACTCCAAAGTTCCTAAAAGTGGCCATCATTGACGTGAATGATTATTCTCTCAACCTATCAAATTGGTGAGGTTTGGAGTGTGGGACTAGATGAGTGGACAAGAACGTTTTGGTTGAACTTGAGCAATCGTGAAGAATACTCTCCATTAACACCAAAGGACTAAGGAACAGGCTCGTTTTAAACAAGTACAACGAGCAAAGACACTTTTCTTCACGTGACGATCGTAATCATCAAAGGTGTGTGCATGCGAGATTGTGGATGCGTACGGTGAATAAATCACCTAATTCTGATGAATGAAAATTAGAAGTGCTGGTGAGTAAGGTGATCGATAGATCTCTAAGATATGATAATGTGAAGAGAAGGAGCTCCAATCTTGGAAAAGAGCCAAATTGTTGTCATTTTTGAAAAGATAATACCCTCGTTTGACTCGGCGATGGATGTTTTGATCCCCAACATTTTTAGGTTGCGTTTGGCCATTAGGTACTCTTTTTTCGGATGGGATAAGGTCGGCCACGAGAAAGATATGATGGTTTTGTAATATCTTTTACGATGTTTGGTAAATATCCGGATATAACGTGGATATAGACATGGTACGATTTTGCCTAAACACAAATGCTTCTCTCCCCCTCCCCTCCTCTCCACTTGTGCGCCATTGTCATCAACCCTTGGTCGATGTCTCTGTTGCTCTCCGCCGCCACCTGTCAAGCCACCGCTGAGATTGCCTCGCCTCGCTGTGCCATTGCCAGTCATCATCGTGTCCCCTATCATTGCCCAGTCACCGACCTGTGGTGCCCAATCAGCCACCATCTCTGTCCTGTCTCGATTCTCAACGTTACACTCTTGCTTCCTCACGATCGCCTCAAATGTCATCGTTGGCCTGGGGTGACACTAGATCTAGGGTTGTCGAAGGCCAGTGGCGTAGGGTCAAGGATGCGGATTGGACTTCCTGAGCTCCGATTTGAGTGCGGAGTGAGGGACAGGGAGGTGAGGATCGGGGGTCGGGGCACAATGGTTCGACAACAACACTTTGAGCGGGAGTTGCTACGTCGGCTGTGCTAATCGTGGCTAAGGAGAGAGAGAGAGATGAGTGTCGAGGCAATATTCAGATTATATCCCACACTCAGGTGAAATTTTTTTATTTGGATTATATAATCAACTATATTCGAATATATCCGGATTTTGCGTAGCCCTAAACACCAGATAGGTCCGTTCCATCAAGCATAGCCTTAAAGGCATTCCCGTCTTTATGCCTTGGGGGCTAAAATAGACGACATCATATTAGAAATAATTGGGCCGGTTTGCTACTGGGCCCTATCCTTGTAATGCCTTTGGGTCTTGGGTTTTGGGCCGGACCTATTGAGTCGTATGGTCTTAAAATCAGGTAGACCAAGCCCATTTTTACCCTATGACGTAGCCCCTATTCTATGAAAGTCAAGTTCACAACATAAAATACATGCGGCTCTGTTGGTAAAAAGTTCTGGGGTGAAGCCAGATAGTACAGGTCCGGAGTTCAATCCTAGAGAGAGAGAGAGAGAGAGAGAGAGAGAGAGAGAGAGAGAGAGAGGGAGGGTATATGAAACTTATTACTAAGCATTCTCATTAAAACCTCACCAGAGTACAATTTGTATCAGAAAGAAAAATTTGAAGAACCGTGCCTAGCAAATACCCTTTCCTATCTATGTTACAGCCGAGTCAGATACCCCTGGCCATCATTTACCTTCCCAAATCGTACACCATTACTTCTTATTCACTATATGCAGAAGAAATCCCATCGATCGTCCAAAAACAGAAAAAGAACGTTATCTATATGATAATTCATCTATATAGACGGTCAGTATTGGCAATAATCAAATCAAGGGTCGGTCCAAAAATCCTCATCACCAGCTCCCATCGTCACATTGAGAGCAACCCTCTTGTGCGATATCGGAGATTTGGATTCCCGAATCGTAGATAGCCCCATTTTGCCAATCTGCGGGGAGGACGCTCTTGGCCCAAATCCACTTCCCGTCGTAACCGGAGGTCACCACGAACCGGAACTGCAATGCCCCTTCGGGGATGCGGCTCGTGTCCCAGACGGCGCCATGGTTCCTGCTCATGAAGTTCCAATACGATGAACCAACCTGTGCATATGGAAATCGAGATGTTATTGACATGATGGGCCAAGAAAATGCTGATTGAGCTGAGGGGAAAGTGGATTATGAGAAAAGTGTGGAGGCTCACCTGTGCTACGTCCATGGCCACGATTTCAGTCTGACCGCCTTGGTACAGCACTTTGACGGCGAGGTAATGTGGCTTTTGGCTCGACTCCTCCACCCGAACGGCCAGATTCTGGTCCTTGTAGTCGCATGGGACTCTGCGCGACCGAGCGATCGTGAGTATTGTACGTGTAATTCCCAACTCAATACAGTAAGTGATGCAGATATCATTTATAAAGCACATCTACAGGTCTGACTATTCGAAACAGAGTAACGTTAGAAAGCAATCAATGTGCTTGGTGTTGGTGGCATGGACCCATTACAATAATTAGTGTCAGCCTGCATCAGAGCACATTGAGTGACTTGACTCCCACTCTGCCGTATGCCATTGCGTGATTGTGCGAGTAGTTGCACCAAAACCATCAGAAGAAGAACCCACATGAACAGAGGCAAAGCAGAGGCAAAAAAAACAAAACCCAACGGATGTCATCACTCATCTGTTTTCTATCCTAGTCTCCAATAATTGCTAAATAGCATAATTTGCTCATTTGGTGCTCACCTTTTGTAATCGACATCGACAATGCCTTGTCTCAAGATGTCTTGGCTCATCCCCTGGTGAGCCATGGCCGCGAAAGCTCGGCTGCTGAGCACAAAGTCTGTCTTGTTGTTGTGGTTGAGATCAGTCACGATCACTCTAGTCCCTGTTTTGGTACACAGATTCGCGTTCTTGCACCTTATCTGCAAATCAATAGTTTTTTTTCCCAAATCAGTCAAAAAGGTGCCATTAAAAACATTAAAAGGCGTGTACACACTATACTAACTACTTAATAATTTAGAAAATTTGGCCAATCACATCGATCGATCGATATCGTACTGTGACTGGCCGAGTCTACCGCCGACGAAACGAAAGAAATTTCGAGACGCACCTGAAAGCAAGCACCACAACCAGCCCCATCTTTGTAGAGGGAAGGAATGGCTGCTGCGAGAAAGCCACCGTTGAAGCCAACAGCCAAAGAGCCATACCCACATGCTCCAGCTGCAAAAAATTCACGCATAACAGATCAATCCCTCTTAACTCATACAAAAACATCATCTGGGTCCGAGCCAAAAATACACATTTGACAATAAAATCCATCTGGGTATTGATGAAAAGGAACGACAAACAAGAATCAAGAACAGACGAGTGCTTACACGAAAGTGCAGAGGCCCTGTTGAAGTAAGCAGCCTTGGACTGGTGGACGCAGCGATCACAAGCAGTGGCAGAAGAGACGACGAGAGAGAGGAGGAAACAGAGAAAGAAGGCCATTTTGGTTGCTGCTGGTGTCGAGTCGGTGTCGAATGAAAAGATTTGATGGAGAAATGCGGTATTTATAGAGTGGCGAGTAGCGAGAGGGAAGAGCTTTGAGTGTGGACTCCAGGTCAGCGTTTCCAAAGAGGATTTGCATTGACAGTGAATTCTTTATTGGGTTGGACAAAGTTTGTTCCTTGGTGGCGTCTAAGATAAGGAAAGAGACGGGCATTTACCCAAACGCGGTTTTCAGAGAGTGTCGATAGAAAGTTCATAAGCTTTATATTCGATTTTGGTAAATGAATTTCTGCAGGTTAAGAAAATTTAAAGTGAGAATCATGGCGTCTCACCGACTCTTCTTCGCCTAGGGAGGGAGAACAGCTGTGAGGAACTGAAGACCTTTCCGAAAGTGCGTGTGATTGTGTCGGAGACAGAGCAAATGCTAGTGAGAGACAGGTTTTTCTGGCACTTTGCTTTCAAGACGAAGCTTCTCATCTGTTCCCAAAACATGTCTTTGGAAAGATTGTGCTGAATTACTGGAAGAAAAGGCTGGATTTGCCAGGTGATAAGTAAAAAATTTCTTAAAAGAGAGGATTAAGATGTTAATCGTTGCGATGGAACACACGTGGATGGATAGATGATCACTGTGCTAAATAGAGTAAACACTATTCAGTCAGTGGATTAGCATCTAGATTTTCTACCCAAAATGTGTTGTGGTTACCCTTTTCTATTAAAAATTATTCCTATTGGGGACAACTTTGCTTCATAATTAAAAAGTACATGCATGTCACCCGGCTAATTTAGAGGACCACAAAACATCTTACAAGTCCCATGAGCCAATCAAGTTTAGATCGTTCGGCTGTGCAAGTAATCTTGACCTAAAACAGTTTGCATGCAATTGATGGAAATCTTACGAATAACTTGAGTGACCCATTTTATTTTTTTTCTTTTGCATATCTTTACTCTTGCATACTTTTACGTCGGCTAAAGCTCTTTTTTTTGGGGCTAAGGCCCTACTCCAAGCCTTCTTAAATAATCTACTTGTGAATTGTGATGTGTTTAGAAAGGGGAGGAAAAAAAAACTGAGAAAAAGAAAATGTAGATAGTGCGTATGTGGCCATGCCGTGGGTGAGTCCTTGTCGTTTGCTTGCTTACGTTACTGGTCCCGTAAAATAAGGAGGAAGGCTTTTAGGTTTGATGAGAGATGTTGAATGGAGATGGAGATTTAATGTTTTGGCAACGAGTGAGGAGATAAGAGCAAAAGGAGCGTGCCATCATGCCTATGCCCACTTGTCAAAAAAAAGTCCTTAGAATATTGCCAAAATCCGACAGCTATCAAAAGGTGGGCAATGGGTTGCCAATAGGAGGAGCCTTCTTATCCTAGATTTCTTACCCTCCACTATTAATTTAGTCACTAAATAACTTCAACCCTGTTTTTTTTTTTATTGGTATGTTTTTTTTTTTTTTAAGCACTCAATGATCAGAGACTATTTAATTATTAGACTGCTTAATAGGGTGGTGGGGGTGAGTGAATGCTCGTTTAGGGAATCCCTTTTAAAAAAACACCTTATTTGTTTATTTTAACTCTAGCTTGTTTTTCAATTTAGTTTCATATTGAATTTGAAAGCAATGTATTTGATTAAGAGAAAATTTCAAATGAGAGCTTAGAATGGATCAGCTTTCTAAAAAATTGACCTGAAACGAACATTATTTCAAATAAGATCTTAAAAAGCCTTCTTTTATAGAGAAAACGGTCCACCTCAATTTATGACATGAGAAGAAAATTCTTATTGAATCTGCCGACCAGCCTCGTTCTTTTGACATCGGGTTCGCATTGGGAAGTGGGAATATCAGTCAAAGCCAAGCAACCAGCGAAGTCAAAGATGATGCGTTGGGAACCATTACTTTATTACTCTGTAAATGGTGGGCACCAGGCACTGTCTTTGCATCCAACTGTCCTAAAGTCATTTTGTTTCCGGCAAAACAACGACGATGATATCGGATTGCAAGCTGGACACCCATTAAACGGTCAAACCCAGACCTTTAAACTAAACTCCATTATCTCGGTTAGCAATAGGGATGCTGCTTGGTTTACAACCCACAATTCATATTCAATAATTGGTTGATGAATGAAAGCTGAAGTCTCACAACTTTTCTCCTTTTTTTGTACTTGTAATGAATGACGTTCAAACTATGCTTAATGCATGTGAAAACTGTACATCCATCCCCAACCCATCCGCTGCATCGGCAAATCGCGACCGCTCTGTGATAAGATAACAGGAGATACGAGAGCCAAGTAATTGAATCTAAGCAATTCCACATTTTATAGAGGGCGTGTCAGCTTCCCTTCTCCGATAGGATTGCCATGAGCTCCGATCGAGCTTTCTCTAGAGCGCTCGACAAGTTCCCGGGCTTTCTGCCTCCGGCCTGAGCGAAGTTGGGCCTCCCACCTCCTCCTCCACCGCACAATTTAGCTATGGGCCCGATAAACTTCCCAGCTTGTAGTCCCAGTTCGACAACTCCTGGAGTGAACGCAGCAACTAAACTCACCTTTCCTTCACTTGGACTGGAGCCCAACACAACCGCTGCCGGATCATGTAGGCTATTGATCAAATATTTGCCCGCACTTTTAAGTGAATCAGCATCAGTGTCGTCCATAGACTCCACTAGTACCCTGAAGTGGAAATGACTTCATTATGTTCAGACAATGACAGTCACAAAGTATGGTGCTTGAGACGAGCAGTTCCGACAGAGACAGTAACAAAGGCAATATCCAGCTCAAAGGCCTCACAGAAATCATGCAAAGTGCCTCTAATGATGACACTGAACGGATTAATTGTCTTGTGGAAAATCATGTGTTGTGCAATATCAGATGAAAAGGCGTTGCTTTAATAGTACAAAGAGTTAAAAACGAACAATAAGGCCAATGACAAAGCTTTCACCATTAGGTAGATGCCACTAAAAACTTATTCAGCAAGAATAATATTCTGAGGAGACTAATCACTGAGGAGATATTCGAGGAAATAAACTTAATGTCAAATTTGAGGAACGGACTAGATAAACATGATTACCTGATTTCTTTCGAACTTCCCACTAAGACTGCTTTGCTCGCAATGGTCGATGCTTTATACACAGCAGCCTTGGAACGCAATAAAGAAACTTCATTTCTTGCCGTTCTCAACTCCTCTAACAGATTGTCTACCCTGGTCGTGACCTCTTCAGCTTTCACCTTCATGAGAAAAAAGTTATTGGGCCTTGTTGGTCCCGATGTGCCTTTGGAGAAGTCATATAATTTTACAGAAAATAAGAAAGATTTGACTTTTTTAACTGGCTAAAAGAAAAGAAAAGAAAACCTTGAGATTGTTGCATAGCTGTTTCATGTAGTAATCTCTGGAATTGACATACTCAATGAAAGCTTCCCCTGCAACAGCTTCTATTCGCCTGATTCCAGATGCAATACCCTGCTCGGAGATTATTTTGAAGCCTCGTATTTCTGCTGTGTTGCTGACATGGGTCCCACCACACAGCTCCATAGATACACCAGGAACCTCTACGACACGTACCTATGGCACATCAGATGACAAGCAATATTATTAAGTTCCCTGCGATGTGTTACAACAACCATTGCTCCCAAAATAGTGAAGAAGGGTGTCGACTAGAAAAATATTTGCACTTTAGCAAGTTAGATCCCACTTCAATATACATCTCGTTTTTAATGCTTAATAGGATGGTAGTAACTCGCACAGCATCTCCAAGAATCATGCATGAAGCATGTAAAAAGGTTGGTAAAGCTCTCCACTCTGACTGGAATTCGGTAGAGGTGGCGATAGATTTGGGTTCTGCATCTAATCAACTCCAGAGACCATAAAGATAGTCACAGCAATGAAGCACCTCATCCGCTCACCAAAAGTTATGTAAAACCATCTTTTAACAGAAACATACATCAGACAATATGCCTCAAAGAGAAGCAAATATATTACAGTATCCAAAAGCAATACAGAAAACTTTCATACCTCTTCACCATACTTCTCTCCAAACATCGCAATAGCGCCGGCCTCTTTTGCTTCTGTAAGAGGCATAACTCTAGTTTGGAGAACCGCAGCATCTCCAATCCAACCATTTATCAGTCTTTCGATCTCCAGGATCTCATCGTCAAGTAGCGGCCGATGGAAGTTAAAATCAAACCTCAAACGGTCAAAGGCCACCAAAGACCCAGCTTGTGATGTTTCCTGGCCTATCACCTTTTTAAGTGCAGATTGTAGTAGATGAGTAGCAGTATGATGAACCTGCCAAAGACTAAGCAGTTTTCATTAGAAGCTGGAAGAATTCCTAGTAGAGAATCACATGGCAAATAATATGACATCTCCATCATCTAAAAGAGGACTGTTCAGCAGAAATGAGGCACAGCATCAACTTTGAGCGTATTTTATGGAAAATCAAGATTAAGAAGAACCAAGGCTTCAAATCCAGCCATCTTAGTAGTCACAACCCCTTACAGGCAGGCGTAAATGCACACAATCGAGAAGTACCTTAGCCCGCTGCCTCAGTTTTGGATCCACTCCAGCTTCCACCTCTTTGCCAACTTCTAAAACTCCCTCCTTTACAGTGCCTTTATGAACAAATAAGCTACCCATAGATTTTTGAACATCTCTGATCTCCACCACAGTTCTCCGTTGATTCTCACCATCAGAAACACAAATTAGACCATGATCTGCAATTTGACCACCAGATTCTGCATAGAATGGAGTCTTATCGAGCAACACTTCTACTTCACTTCCCTCAGGAACCTGAATGACTGATTTCCCGTTCACCAAAAGGCTTTTAATTACAGCTTTAGCAGAAAGTGTGTCATATCCTAAAAATTCGGTATCAGAAACATTAGCTGTAAGGTCAGCATCATCTCCAACTTCAAGTTTAACGGCATGGTGTGCAGCTTGCGATCGACGCCTTTGTTTCTCCATTTCAGTATCAAAAGCGTTCATATCAACCGTAACACCGTGCTCTTGAGCAACTTCAATTGTTATTTCTACTGGAAACCCATACGTGTCAGACAATAGAAATGCATCTTCGCCTGCCAAGCATGGTACTGTACCCTTTTCACGAGCACTTGATAATGCATCAGCTATCATTTGTTCCAGTAGCTCTTCTCCTCTCTCCAAAGTCTGGACAAAACGATATTCTTCCCTTTTTATCTCCTCGAGTATGCGGGGTGCTCTAGTCTTCACCTCTGAATCAATGTGAGTACCTAAATCTATAACCTTTTCTGCTATAGCTGGCAAAAATGCTCCTTCAAGATTTTCTCTGCCATCACCCCTTATATCTAGTAACCTGCCAGTACGTACAACCCTCCGAATAAGACGCCTAACTACATATCCTCTTCCAATGTTCGATGGGATCACTCCATCCGAGATGAGATATACAATTGCCCGCATATGGTCCCCTATAATCTGTAAAATAAACACATGTATGAGGATCATCAGCACTCCTTGAAGAAAAAGATGATCACCATCCTGATAATTAATTCAAAAGATTGAATGGCACTTAAAAAATTGCTACTGATACAAACTTTGAGCTTCGATTTTGTTGGATCATCCGCAAGGCCATATGAAATATTAGCCAATTCTGATGCCTTCTCAATTATAGGATAAATCAAGTCTGTCTCATAATTGCTGGGAACCTGGAAGAACAGTTTTCGGTACAATTAGAAAATATTTGGACGAATTAAGTAATTTACATGTTAATTAGGTGAGATCAATTGGAGATTTATCAGTGGCGTTGCCAGTGGTATTTACCCTCTGAAGAATGCGAGCAACCCGCTCCAATCCCATTCCAGTGTCTATGTTCTTCTGCTTTAACGGTTCAAGTGACCCGTCATCTCTTTTGTTGTATTGCATGAATACCAAGTTATAGAATTCTATAAACCGACTATCATCTCCAAGATCCTGCAAATGAAAATCATAAGACGTAAGAAAATATTTATGTAGGGAAAACATGGAAGCAATAGTAATGTTCTTTAAAAGCAATCTATTGTAGGGATCACACAGACGTGTTAGTAAAACCTCGACATTCGAGAGAACCAGTTATTCCAGGAAGAGTACCGCATCCAAATTTCCTCTCTCAGGATGAAAATCATAGTAAATCTCAGAGCAAGGACCACAGGGGCCAGTTACTCCACTGGTCCAAAAGTTGTCGTCTTCGCCCATTCTCTTTATATGATCAGCAGGAACGCCTACCTGGGGCAGTGCCAATACATACAGATCATGAACAGATAATCATCACGGTAATGTTATCACCATTTCTTATGCATTTCTAGCAGAGATGCTGGTGTGACTTAGTTCAATTGCTACTCCTTATGGCAAGCATAGCTCACAGCGCAGTTAGTAGTAACAATAATGCTTCAAGCATCATATCTGGAGAAAGAATAGAGTAATGTAGATGAGATGTTCATCATCTCTGTGATTGTATCAACTGAAAATAAATAGAGGTAGCAACGAATAAAAAAAACCAGACAAAAAGCAAGCATTCATGACAAGTATGTCAAATGAATTTTGAAAAACAATAATAGTTCTGTATAGATAGAGATGAAGGCAGAGAATAGCATTGAATGGAAAGAATGGTGGTGGAGGTGCTATAATCAAGAATTTGACAAAAACTTACCTCTTTATGCCATATATCAAAGGCTTCATCATCGTCTTCAAAAACACTGATCCACAATCTCTCAGCTGGCAATCCTAACCTGCGGGGGGAACCAAGTCGCAGATCAGCAAGTCATGGTTTTCAACGGATACATTCATTTAAGCTTAAGAGGCCAGCAGCCATGTAAAAATTCATGCATACTCTGCTGTAGAAAGCTCCCATGCCCACTTAATCGCTTCCTTCTTAAAGTAATCACCGAAACTGAAGTTTCCAAGCATCTCAAAGAAAGTATGATGCCGAGTTGTTCTACCCACATTTTCCACGTCATTTGTGCGTATGCACCTTTGAGCAGTTGCAGCACATGGCACTTGTCTGGGAACCTATGCACAATGCCCACAGTTCTAAGTATAAAAATTATATTGAACTTCAGGGAACTAGGTTTAGATTTGCTTCAAATAAAAAATGTGAAACTTAAGTTTCAAGGATATCTACAAGAAAATTCATGCTCTAGATCTGTGGTATAATTACTCTATTCTTCTGCTTCCCATTATCTATCAAGTGTCCATTGCCCCTTCAAGTATCATGAGATTTAAATACGTTGTGGTTGTGGTAATAAGTAGGGATCTTTGCAAAGGTCGGTCATAATTGCCTAAACGAAAAGATATCCATCTATACATCTTATAGCTGATAAAAACAGCAGGTTATACCAGTTGTTTCCCAGATAAACCTTTAATACCATATAGCATGTCACTCAAATAAAACTAATTATGCTATAATATCTTCACTATAGGAAAAGATACAAAATTGTTGATTCAAACGGTTCAAGCCACATTTTGACATTTCAACTAGATACGCCTGACGTGCCTTTCCAAGGAATATAGGCTTAAATTGAAGCATTCCGGCAATAGTCAATAGCACCGTGGGATCGTCCGGCACCAGAGAGGCACTTGGAAGTACTTTGTGACCACGTGAAGCATAAAAATCAAGAAATCGACGGCGTATAGAATCCCCACTGACTGAAAGATCATTGGGTTTCTCCTCTATTGATTCCTCCATTACTGGCTGCACAGATGCTGAAAGAAGCATGATCAATAAGTGGAATATGGAAGATGGAGAACAATAGACAAAGTCACTAGTAAGGTTCTGGAAACAGAGGTATACAATCTAGCACCTTTTCTTTTAATATGTGAATCATGCGCTCCCTTTAGATCAAAGTATTTACACGATATTATACAAGGCGAAATGGCAAGAGATCTTCTAATGAGGCCTGCACAACAAACAGCTTCGAATTACTAGCTGTTGCGTAATAATTTAACCAGGCACATAAAACGCAATAGTAAGTTACAGCAGTGCATAACAAATAGAATAGTTTGTAAAATCCCAACAATGAAGCTTCATAAGTAGAAACGATGCTTGAATAACATTGCTGAAGCAATGGGAAAAAAAAAAAAGAATAAAGAGAGATAGAGAAAGAAAGGCCTCAGGTTCTGCCTCACTTCCCAATTCCATAATCTTCATCATCAATAGCAATAACCACCGCTACTACTTAGCCTTTTCATAATGAGCCCAATTCTCAGCATGTTCCTTCACATGCCACTTTTTCGAGTCAGACTGGTAATCTCTTTTACTAGAGAAAAAGCTTGCATTGTCAGATGAGGCCCATCATATCCAGACTCTACAACTCAAGCTAGTTCCCAGCTCTCGAAATAACTATATTTCCGGATTTGCGGTGCACATTCTCTCTTTGGAAGCCATTAGCAATTAAACAGTTCAATGTACGGGTCACCAATAAACGTGCAATTAGAGTAGCAGTATCAATATATATTCAAAAGCTAGGCAGGACATTTTAAATTCACTTCTGAAGTCCACCTCATAACATGACCAATAAGATGTACAACACGTCCATTTCAACGAGCTTAAGCTAAAGCTTTTGAAGTAAGCAGTTACTCGCTTTGTTACTCCTCATAAGGAACAACGCGGTATATGGGTACATGCCGTTGACACTGACAAATTGACAATGATACCAGGCCAAAGAGCAAACAACTTCCACGCAAAACAACCAGATAAAACTGAAGGGCTCATCATAAATTCTTCGCTCGTGGGAATTTGCTGCATCGGGCAATCACCCACGATTTGTTTTGCCTTCATATCACCCCATTTTTCATCACGCGAACTACTCATCGAATCATAGCAAGTTCAAAACAGAAGCAAAAGCAGGGGACGAGTTCCGAAAGCAATGAAATCTACCAGTCGAATGGACCGTACGAGTCGTGGGTCGGACGGGGAAGGCGAATTTGGGGAACAAGCTTGACGTGCCGGGCACAGACGAAGGCAGCTTCAGCCCTTCCATGGCCTCTCTCCCTCTCGCTCGCGATGAACACGTATGCTGCTTCAATCCAATTGGAAGTTTTTCAAAAGAGAAAGGAAAAAATGGAGTCTTTTGATTCGTGGGAGAGGGAGGAACAGAAGGAGATAAGCCTATGTTATGAGGTGGACATTGGCTGAGAAGTTACACTGAAGAAACGAATGCCATGACCATGACCTGTAAGAATTGTGGGCACAAGCGAGCCAGAGAGATGCAAGAGGCCATGATGAAGGTGACTCCCACTACTTAAATGTCTTTGAAGAACCATTGTTATTTTGATTGAAATCACTTTGGAGATTAAGTTTGTTTCGCGAAAAATATTTTTTTAAAAATATTTATTTGTATTGCTTATAAAAATAAAAGAATTTTTTTTTATTTTTTATAAAAATATTTAGATATAAATTATTATCGATAATGATAATAAATTTTTTATTGATTAATTATTTTAAGCGAAACAAACCATCATTTTTTAGAAAAAAAAAATCTCTTTGTCGATCGGCTTGCTAATCTTGGAATTGGTAAGCGCTTGGATACTAATTTTTTTTCATTACTTCCTAAAGAGTTATTTCGTGTGTTTATTAGGTGATAAAATAAGGATAGTAGATTTACAACGTTAAAATTTTGTTTTCGGCTTTAGCCCTTTTTCATATAAAAATAATAATCCATAAGGGATGGGATAATTACCAAAATAAAATTTTAATCTTATTGTAAGGATACTAATTTAGTCTTAAACGTTTTGACGATTTGCCAATATAGTCATTCTAGCCAATTTTGATAGGAAATCGCTAACTCCAGTCAGCCGGCTCTGATGTTGAAAATGTTTTCAATTTTTTTAAATTTTTATTAATTTTTTTCTTCTATTTACTTTTTTTCCTTTTCATTTCTTCCCTTTTTCTTTTTTTCTTTTTTTCATTGTTTCTTGTTTCCCTCAGTTGGTCCATGGCCTTAGCGGTGGTCGACAGGGGCCACGGGCCCTCACTGTGGCCAGTGAGGGCCACGAGGGTTTCTGGCCCATAGTGAAAAAAAAGAATAAAGAAAACAAAAGAAAAAATTAAAATTTTGATAAAAAAATTCAGAAAACTTAAAAAAAAATTTTTGCAAAAAGTATCAATTTCAACATTGGCTTTCACTTTATCACGAAAGACAGTTAGTATCCACGTCAATGATATTAGCCAAAATTGACCGTAAGGACTATTTTCGAATATCATCAAAAACTTTAAGATTAAATTGATCAAATTAAAAAGTTTAAGACTGAATTGAACGCTTTATAATTAGTTTAAGATTTTTTTGGTAATTTTCCCCGTAAGAGACCTAAGAATGTCCTTGAGATTTTGGTCATGTTCAAGTTTGTGACTCAAAAGTAAAAACATGGAATCAGAAAAGTGTGTGTACACACACGGAGATACTTCATGAATTAAAAGCCTCAACGTTTTAGTCAACTTTGTCTCTGTTTAGACATTTTCATAGCTGATTTGATTCATGATTTGAATTTTTCATTGTAACTTGGCTTGTTAATATCTGTCAGGATGCAATTAGAGGGTATAGTTCACACAATAGCGGGTCTAATTGACATAGGAGTTGACTGGAATCGAATTGCCTCCACTCAACAGAGAAAAGTACGCTAATCATAGGAGTGAAGGATCCGTTTTCAGTTGAATCTGTCGAGCTACAAATTATGAACTGCAATTTTCATGCAATTCTCTATTTATGTACATCCAAAAAGCTTCCATACAAGAAAGGCAAAACCATAAATACAGAGCTTCAATGACTACACACTAGCAATTGTTGTCCACCGTGATTCTGCTGGAGAGAGTGAGAAAGTGAGCATGTGTCGGCTGTAATAGACATAAGGAGAGCCTTCTCGATTTCCGCATTGGCACGCCGCTGGATCATTGAAAACATGTAGTCCATGAACATGGCGTCGCACGGCAAAGTGATCGGTCCATTGCTAGGAAGCCCGAACTCGTCCTCAGATAATTTGAGCAGCTCTCGAATGACGCAGTTATTCAAGTACTTAATTGGAAACATGAATCGCTTTCGGTCGATGGAGTAGATGACAAAATGTCCTCTATGAGCTAGCACTTCCTCGTCTCCATCGACTTGTGGAAATGAGATCCTTTTCCTTCTCATGACAGCTTCTCTCTGCCATTTTCTTGCAATCGTGACCAACTGCTTCGGACTGATCATTTTCTCTATAATGTAATGTGGACGAAGAAGAAATAGGAGATTGTTGTTTCTGTTCTTCAGGGCTTTGGAATGCTAAAGTTGCTGAGTTGAAGATAATAAACTAACTGGGGTCTGTTATATAGTGGTGCATCAGGAGGACACCGGCATTAATGGGAGTCACCTCGTGATGGTGCAGAGCCATGTGATTTGTCTTGCAAGAGAATGTTAAGGTGGTGGCGATGTCTGTTTCAGTTAGGCCGTCAACTTGTCTCCCGACAAGTACAGCTCCATTGTCCAAGATGATCGTAGCACCAGAATTGCACCTACATAAGAATGATGAAATTGAATTGCAGATTCCTTTTATTCACATGTAATGTTCTTTGCTGGGAAGACAGTTTGGTGGCTTGTGAGTGAATGGACTTGGCAAGTTTAGGGCAGGTGCAATACATTACTGCTGGACCCGAGATGTCTAAAGCTCGCACCAGCCATGCCGTAGAGTATGTGGTTCACACTCGCCGAGTCTGATGGTCGTTCCTAGCTCTCGGCATTACTTGATACAATATCTGAAGGGCTCGGATTATCCAAGCTTTTGCTTCTCATGTGTTGTCCGTGGTCCCCTCACAAGATAACGCAGGGTAATGTCAAAGGGGTTAAGATTTCGGATAGAAATTTCTAAAAATCATGTAGCAGCTTATATCTATAGCTTACACGCAGAAAAAGGAAAAAAAAAGTCTGTCATTGGACTATTTGTCCCCTTAATGAATGATTTCTTTCTTCCATTCGTTATTTTTCAGTAAGCCTAAACAAGTGCATAGTGTGGATATACACCTTTGCTTGTGGCATCGGTGCAAATCATCAATTCATACTGCTATTTAATACGTTTTCTCGCAACCAGACAGTAGGTGGGAAGACCCAACGTGCCTATTTATGTGCTTGAAATTTCTGAATTTTCTGGGTCCAGCAGTATTGCTTGCTAATGTGACCAGGAGTTTCTCATACATATTATTGTCTGTCGGTATTGATAAAACTGATGCTACTTTTATGTAACCTTCAGCAATTTGTGGTTGATCTTGTGATTCGTGGAGGGAATGTGGTTAATCAAGTGGACAACCAAACTGATCTGGACCTTACTGTGTAGCTAAACTCACTTGCAAAATGGTAACAGAATCCTTCTCTTCTGTTATGCAATCTTGTACTCGAGCCCACAGAACCAAAATCCTGGACCCTCTTTGAAGTTTTTCTCAACATGACCACATGGGTTTGCTTACCATGTGACTTCACATGGGAAAGAGATACATTGAATGCTGATTCGTTAGCCCTCTCAGTATAAAACTCGGGATAGGCCAATACGTTCTGCACAGCCACAAATAGCACTCAAACTCAACAAAAAGCAAGTTTGCTCTTCTGTTGAGAATTTCTCGGAGTAGAACAAAATGATAAGCACAAAGAAGCTGATTCAAATGGCAAGGAAGTGGCAGAAGATGGCCGCAATTGGAAGAAGAAGAATTTCGTTTCATTGGACGAACAGCAAGTCCGCTTCAGCAAATGCAAAGAGATCATCGGTTGCTCAGAAGGGTCACTTCGTTGTCTATACAACAGATGAGAGACGCTTCATGATCCCTCTCTCGTTTCTCACCAACGACATAGTGAGGGAGCTCTTCAGGGTATCGGAAGAAGAGTTTGGGATTCCATGTGATGGTCCAATCATGCTTCCAATTGATGCACTATCAATGGAGTACATAATTTCATTAATTAGAAGAGGCTTGGCTAAGGACCAAGAGAGTGCTTTGCTTATGTCGTTCACTAGACAAAGCTGCTCATCATCCTTAGCTTTCAATCAAGCATTAGAAAACCCAGAAATTCTTGTTTGTAGCTGACAGATGTAACACATACCAGTGCTTACTAGATGAATGAAAGTAGTTTTGCCACAATATATGCGCTGTTCTGATTCATTTCTATTTGGCTTACATCATTATAGCATATTGTGATAGCTGGTTTTAACTCAGATAATTATGTCCTGCACTATGGATCCGTGCAACCAAAGAGTACACAGGCTAGACTTTACGGTATCTAATCGAACCATACTGCTACTATTCAAATGTTTCGGCTTAGGGTGCTCAAGTTTGGATCGGTCTAGTCAGCTTGGTTGCCAGCTTGAGTGGACATAAATCCTAAGCAAACAGTTGAAGATTATCTCTACCCCAATGGCGATGCTTGAAGCTTTTGGGTTCTTAATCAATATCAACATGAATGTTATACTCACCAACTTGAAGTCCTGGTTAAGGATCTCGAAATGTTTGCTAATTTGTACGAGAGTGATTGATAGTCACAAGCCACAACGCAAAGCACAATCTGCTGCTCTTTCCATTACCGTAGCATGTTGATCAGGGAAATTAATGCAGACGATACTGCCATTCTACGGGGGAGTGACAGGACAGTAACCATTCCAGTGATAAAAATCCGCACCAATGGCCTGATCTGAAATTTGTACGCCACATACTTTAACTAATTAACATGCTAACTATTAGTAAGTTTACCCTCTCACATGCAAACTAGATTAAGAGTGGCGTGTGGAATTTGACTAACGGAGGTAGACACGCACATGAAAAGCGAAAAACCTAGCTTTGCTCATAGGTGGAGAGAGACTGCATGTATATAAAGAACATATAAATCACATTATCAAACGATGCGGGATATTTCAACACTAATTGGTAAGTAAAAAGAGTGGGCTTATGGTGATTGATGATTGGCTATTATTACCTCCCACCTGAATATTGTCGGTGACTCGATATCTCACTATTGTAGAATACAGTCCTTGCAGATGTTGGTTGCACATATCTCTCCAATTTTTTCTAATTACCACAGATGCTCAAAGTGGACTAGTTTGAGGCTTTTAAGACACATATGTTGCTTGTTCGGTAGCCCGTCTATAACTCTTGGAACAGCAGTTCATGTCCTGTGCTTGCCTAAATTGCTTAATGTTTCGTTCTCTTCACTCCCGTGGCCAGAAACTTTCCTTCCCAATCATTGGCAAACTAGACCAGAAAAGAATAAAATGTATTTACAAATACACATGTTTCTTTTTCTTTATGTAGTTACTTTTCCCCTATAAATATAGACCTGAGCAGGTCTTTAAAAGACTCCATTTTGACAATGAAGGGGATAACCCCATAGGGTTATCCAGCCGAGTTGGAATGAATCTCATGGAGGGATTCCCCTCCGACCTCCATGGGATATAAAAGACGAATGGAGGGGTAGAGGTAGCTCCCATGTCTCGAAAATGATTGTGGCAGGAGGTTTTCCTCCGTAAGAGACCTGAGAATGTCCAGATTTTGGTCATGTTCACAAGAGTAAAAACATGGAATCACAAAAGTGTGTGTACACACACGGAGACATTTTATGAATTAAAAACCTCAACGTTTTAGTCAACTTTGTTTTTGTTTAAACATTTACATAGCTGATTGGATCCATGATTTGAATTTTTTCATTGTAACTTGGCTTGTTAATATCTATCGGGATGCAATTAGAGGGTAAAGTTCACACAATAGCGGGTCTAATTGACATAGGAATTGACTGGAATCGAATTGCCTCCACTCAACAGAGAAAAGTACACTAATCATTGGAGTGAAGGATCCGTTTTCAGTTGAATCTGTCGAGCTACAAATTATGAACTGCAATTTTCATGCAATTCTCTAATTATGTACATCCAAAAAGCCTCCATACAAGAAAGGCAAAACCATAAATACAGAGCTTCAATGACTACACACTAGCAATTGTTGTCCACCGTGATTCTGCTGGAGAGAGTGAGAAAGTGAGCATGTGTCGGCTGTAATAGACATAAGGAGAGCCTTCTCGATTTCCGCATTGGCACGCTGCTGGATCATTGAAACCATGTAGTCCATGAACATGGCGTCGCACGGCAAAGTGATCGGTCCATTGCTACGAAGCCCGAACTCGTCCTTGGATAATTTGAGCAGCTCTCGAATGACGCAGTTGTTCAAGTACTTAATTGGAAACATGAATCGCTTTCGGTCGATGGAGTAGACGACAAAATGTCCTCTATGAGCTAGCACTTCCTCGTCTCCATTGACTTGTGAAATGAGATCCTTTTCCTTCTCATGGCAGCTTCTCTCTGCCATTTTCTTGCAATCTTGACCAACTGCTTCGGACTGATCATTTTCTCTGTAATGTAATGTGGACGAAGAAGAAATAGGAGATTGTTGTTTCTGATCTTCAGGGCTTTGGAATGCCAAAGTTGCTGAGTTGAAGATGATAAACTAACTGGGGTATGTTCTATAGTTGTGCATCAGGAGGACACCGGCATTAATGGGAGTCACCTCGTGATGGTGCAGAGCCATGTGATTTGTCTTGCAAGAGAATGTTAGGGTGGTGGCGATGTGGGTTTCGGTTAGGCTGTCAATTCTTCTCTCGACAAGTACAGCTCCATTGCTTGAGATGATCGTAGCACCAGGATTGCACCAACATAAGAATGATGAAATTGAATTGCAGATACCTTTTATTCACATGTAGTGTTCTTTGCTGGAAAGATAGTTCGGTGGTTTGTGAGTGAATGGACTTGGCAAGTTTAGGGCAGGTGCAATACATTACTGCTGGACCCAAGATGTCCTTAGAGTATGTGGCTCATAGTTGCTGAGTCGGTTGGCTGTTCCTAGCTCTTGGCATTACTTGATGCAATATCTGAAGGGCTCGGAATATCCAAGCTTTTGCTTCTCATGTGTTGCCCGCGGTCCCCTTACAAGATAATGCAGGGTAATGTCAAGGGGATTTAAGATTTCAGATATATCAATTAAAGAAGCATAACAAAATTCTAAAAATTCAAATAGCAGCTTATATCTATAGCTTACGTGCAGAGAAAGGAAAAAAATCTGTCATTAGACTATTTGTCCCCTTAATGAATGGTTTCTTTCTTCCATTATTTATTGTTCAATAAGCCTAAACAAGTGCATAGTGGGGATATACACCTTTGCTTGTGGCACTGGTGCAAATCATCAATTCATAGTGCTATTTAATACGTTTTCTTGCAACCAGACAATAGGTGGGAAGATCCAACGTATCACCTATTTATGTGCCTGAAATTTCTGAGTTTTCTGGGTCCAGCAATATTGCTTGCAAATGTGACCAGGAGTTTCTCATAAGTATTCAATTGTCTGTCGGTATTGAGAATACAAAAACTGGCAAGAACCGATAGTGGACTACTTTTCTGTGACCTTCAGCAAATTGTGGTTGATCTTGCGAGTCATGGAAAGAACGTGGTTAATCAAGTGGACAACCAAACTGATCTGGACCCTACTGTGTAGCTAAACTCACTTGCAAAATGGTAAGAGAATCCTTCTCTTCTGTAATGCAATCTTGCACTCATGAGCCCACAGAACCAAAAATCTTGACCCTCTTTGAAGTTTTTCTCAACATGATCACATGGGTTTGCTTACCATGTGACTTCACATTGGAAAGCGATACATTGAATGCCGATTCGTTAGCCCTCTCAGTATAAAACTCGGGATAGGCCAATACGTTCTGCACAACCAAAAATAGCACTCAAACTCAACAAAAAGCAAGTTTGCTCGTCCATTGAGAATTTCTCGGAGTAGAACAAAATGATAAGCACAAAGAAGCTGATTCAAATGACACGGAAGTGGCAGAAGATGGCCGCAATTGGAAGAAAAAGAATTTCGTTTCATCGGACGAACAGCAAGTCCGCTTCAGCAAATGCAAAGAGATCATCAGTTGCTCAGAAGGGTCACTTCATTGTCTATACAACAGATGAGAGACGCTTCATGATCCCTCTCTCGTTTCTCACCAACGACATAGTGAGGGAGCTCTTCAGGGTATCGGAAGAAGAGTTTGGGATTCCATGTGATGGTCCAATCATGCTTCTAATTGATGCACTATCTATGGAGTACATAATTTCATTAATTAGAAGAGGCTTGGCTAAGGACCAAGAGAATGCTTTGCTTATGTCGTTCACCAGGCAAAGCTGCTCATCATCCTTAGCTTTCAATCAAGCATTAGAAAACCCAGAAATTCTTGTTTGTAGCTGACAGACGTAACACATACCAGTGCTTACTAGATGAATGAAAGTAGTTTTGCCACAATGTATCAGCAGTTTTGATTTATTTCTATTTGGCTTATATTATCGTAGCATTTTGTTATAGATGGTTTTGACTCAGATCATCGTGTCCTGCACCACAGATCCGTGCCACCAAAGAGTACACAGGCTAGATTTTACGGTTATTAATCGAACCATACTGCTACTATTCAAATGTTTCGGCTTATTGTGCTCAAGTTTGGATCGGTCTAGTCAGCTTGGTTGCCAGCTTGAGTGGACATAAATCCTAAGCAAACAGTTGAAGATTATCTCTACCCCAATGGCGATGCTTGAAGCTTTTGGGTTCTTGATCAATATCAACATATATGTTATACTCGCCAACTTGAAGTCCTGGTTAAGGATCTCGAAATGTTTGCCGATTGTACGTGGGTGATTGATAGTCACAAGCCACAGCGCAAAGCACAATCTGCTGCTCTTTCCATTATCGTAGCATGTTGATCAGGGAAATTAATGCAGACGATACTGCCATTCTACGGGGGAGTGACAGGGTAGTAACCATTCCAGTGATAAAAATCCGCACCAATGGCCTGAGCTGAAATTTGTACGCCACATACTTCAACAAATTAACATGCTAACTATTAGAAAGTTTACCCTCTTACGTGCAAACTGGATTAAAAGTGGCGTGTGGAATTTGACTAACGGGGATAGACACGCACGCGAAAAGGGCAAAACCCGGCTCTTCTCATAAGTGGAGAGAGACTGCAAGTGTATAAAAAACATATAAATCACATTATCAAATGATGCAGGATATTTCAACGCTAATTGATAAGTAAAAAGATTGGGCTTATGATAATTGATGATTGGCCATTATTACCTCCCACCTTAATATTGTCGGTAACTTGATATCTCTCTATTGTAGAATGCAGTCCCTGCAGATGTCGGCTGCACGGATCTCTCCAATTTTTTCAAAATACCACAGATGCTCAAAGTGGACTAGTTTGAGGCTTTTAAGACACATGTTCCTTGTTCACGTCCTGTACTTGTCTAAATTGCTTAATGTGTCATTCTCTTCCCTCCGGTGGCCAGAAACTTTCCTCCCCAATCATTGGCAAACGAGACCAGAAAAGCATATCATACACATAATCAATTTTAATCGGTCATGAAATTATATATCCATCTATATATTTATGTCATAACAGCGCAAATTGGTTAAAGGATTAGAGTTCCGAAGTCCATCAAAAAGAACATATACATCTCGTGTAAATAACAAGCTATCCCAACTTATGCCAAAATCCAGCTCCCAAAAATCGTCGCCAATATTGCTCTCGTCTTATTTTCCTGTACCTCTAGAATCTGAAAAATAATTGAGAGCGATGACATGGGCAAATCATTGATCAGTGATTAGTACAAATCTCTTGTAAACATATCTAGCATCTACTATATGCATTTACAAACCGTACCGGAAACACATTTATGCAAATCCAAAGATTATTATGTGTGCAAGATCAAAGATGAGTTATATAACTTCAACAAAGCTTTATACATATCAGAAATATCCATTCAATCTGCAATAAAACAAACATTAATGGTCCAATCCATCAATCAATTTAATGATCGATATTAAACTATGGCCATTTAATGCCCTATATTGGCCAAAACATGACGTCTCAGGAACAACATGTATACTTGCAACTCTTCAATGGGTTCAAATTATAGCGACGAGAAAAAAACCATCAACATAATCCTTGAGCTAGTCATAAAACCATTTCAGAATTGAATTCACAAGATATATAACCTTTCGCAATTCCTTCCATCAAGAAAAATGCATTTCATGCAGCATTCTTCATCCATTTGATAGATAATGAACTCGCCAATTATTTCAAGAGAAACTTTACCATGCAATTTCAAATAAACAAAAGGTAGTAAATACCTGATTCGATTTTATGAAACAAGTAGGCTCTAAACACCATTATTCCTTTTTTGGACAATTTTTCCGATTTTTTTGGGATGTTGTTTGAAAAATAAAATGGTAATAGCGTAAAGTATGTGTTGCTGAGAGAAGATTAAAATCCAATGCAAGAAGTGAAGAGATATACGTAGGTTTTGAAATATGATGAACGCATTTATTATGGCAAGTAAGGTTCAGGATTGATTTACTGGGTGCGTTTGTTTCAGGAAAAGTGTTTTTCGGGAATCCATTTTTCAAACTTTCACCTGTTTGGTTCGCCAAAAATGGTAAGTCAATTAAAAATACTTTCCGGTCAAGGAAAACATTCATGTATAAAATTAGGAAAGTGAATTACCTAATTTAAGAAGGTGAAAACACTTTCCGAAATTGCTTTCCTTTACTTTTTTAATATTTTATTCTTTTCGTTCTTTTCTTTTCTTTCTTTTCTTTCTTTTTTTCTTTTATTTTTTATTTTTAAAAATTCGATTTTTTTTTTGCCTTAGATAAAATCATAGGATTGAAATCATTTTCTAAATGAGATCTAAACACCAGAAAATTTTTTCGATCGCATATCACCAAATAAAGGAAAACTAACTATTTTCTTGGAAAATGATTTTCCAGAAAGCACTTTCCAAAAACGTTATATTTTCCGTAAAACAAACGCAGAGTTTTTCTTTTTCCTTTTTGGCGAGGTGAAAATACTTAATAGGTTAGTTAACAATTTAAAACCAATTAGAGCATAATTTTCTTAGATTTCTCTCATTATAACTATTCCCTCTTCCATTTATCTCATATTTTTCTCAACCTAAAACAATTTTGTCCTAAATTTTTTAATTTGGCAATTTAATCCTCGACCTTTTGACGATTTGCCGGTGTAATCCTTCCAGGTAATTTGGCCGGAAATCATCGACGTGGACGTCAGTCGGTCTACGCTGATTTGAATAAATTTTCAATTTTTAAAATTTTTATGAATTTTTTCTTCTCTTTTCATATTTTCCTTTTCTTCCTTTTCATTTCTTTCCTTTTTCTTTTTTTCTTATTTCCTAAGCTAGTCCGAGGCCTCGGCGATGGTAGACAGGGACCACATGCCCTTGCTGTGGCTGGCGAGGTTTGTTGGTCCATGGCGAAAAGAAAATATAAGAAAAAAATAATAAATTATAGAATTTTTTTAAAAAAAAAATCGCAAAAAGTAACTACATCAGCACTAGCTGTCGTTGTGCCATATAGGATAGCTGGCATTTACATTAGCGATTTCTAACCAAAATTGACCGTAATGACTATATTGGCAAATTATCAAAAACTCTAAGACTATATTTGTCCAATTGAAAAGTTTATGACTGAATTGGCCGACGTACAATATGTTTAAGAATTTTTTGATAATTTTCGCTTGGAGAGACCTAAGAATCTCCTCGAGATTTTGGTCATGTCCGAGTTTGCCGCTCAAAGTGGAAACACGGAATCACAAAAATATAAATATACACACGCGGAGACATTTTATGAATTAAAAACCTCAACGTTTTAGTCAACTTTGTTTTTGTTTAAACATTTACATAGCTGATTGGATCCATGATTTGAATTTTTTCATTGTAACTTGGCTTGTTAATATCTATCGGGATGCAATTAGAGGGTAAAGTTCACAAAATAGCGGGTCTAATTGACATAGGAATTGACTGGAATCGAATTGCCTCCACTCAACAGAGAAAAGTACGTACACTAATCATAGGAGTGAAGGATCCGTTTTCAGTTGAATCTGTCGAGCTACAAATTATGAACTGCAATTTTCATGCAATTCTCTAATTATGTACATCCAAAAAGCCTCTATACAAGAAAGGGAAAACCATAAATACAGAGCTTCAATGACTACACACTAGCAATTGTTGTCCACTGTGGTTCTGCTGGAGAGAGTGAGAAAGTGAGCATGTGTTGGCTGTAATAGACATAAGGAGAGCCTTCTCGATTTCCGCATTGGCACGCTGCTGGATCATTGAAACCATGTAGTCCATGAACATGGCGTTGCACGGCAAAGTGATCGGTCCATTGCTAGGAAGCCCGAACTCATCCTCGGATAATTTGAGCAGCTCTCGAATGATGCAGTTGTTCAAGTACTTAATTGGAAACACGAATCGCTTTCGGTCAATGGAATAGACGACGAAATGTCCTCTATGAGCTAGCACTTCCCCGTCTCCATCAACTTGTGGAAATGAGATCCTTTTCCTTCTCAAGGCAGCTACTCTCTGCCATTTTCTTGCAATCTTGACCAACTGCTTCGGACTGGTCATTTTCTCTGTAATGTAATGTGGACGAAGAACAAAATAGGAGATTGTGTTTCTGATCTTGAGGGCTTTGAAATGCCAAAGTTGTTGAGTTGAAGCTTGAAGATAATGGACTGACTGGGGTCTGTTATATAGTGGTGCATCAGGAGGACACCAGCATTAATGGGAGTAACCTCGTGATGGTGCAGAGCCATGTGATTTGTCTTGCGAGAGAATGTTAGGGTGGTGGCAATGTCTGTTTCGGTTAGGCCGTCAATTTGTCTCCCAACAAGTACAGCTCCGTTGCTCGAGATGATCGTAGCACCAGAACTGCACCTACATAAGAATGATGGAATTGAATTGCAGATTCCTTTTCTTCACATGTAATGTTCTTTGCTGGGAAGACAGTTTGGTGGTTTGTGAGTGAATGGACTTGGCAAGTTTAGGGCAGGTGCAATACATTACTGCTGGACCCAAGATGTCTAAAGCTCGCACAAGCCATGCCTTAGAGTATGTGGCTCATACTTGCCGAGTCTGATGGTTGTTCCTAGCTCTCGGCATTACTTGATGCAATATCTGAAGGGCTGGGATTATCCAAGCATTTGCTTCTCATGGGTTGTCGGCCTTCCCCTTACAAGATAATGCATGTCATTATCTAAAGAAACACAGCGCAATTTCTAAAAATTCAAATAGCAGCTTATATATATAGCTTACATGCAGAAAAAGGAATAAAATATGTCATTAGACTATCTGTCACCTTAATGAATGGTTTCTTTCTTCAATTCTCTATTTTTCAATAAGCCTAAACGAGTGCATAGTGTGGATATAAACCTTTGATTGCGGTATTGGTGCAAATCATCAGTTCATACTGCTATTTAATACGTCTTCTCGCGACCCAAAAGTAGGTGGGAAGACCCAACATATCACCTATTTATGTGCTTGAAATTTCTGAATTTTCTGGGTCCAGCAGTATTGCTTGCTAATGGGACCAGGAGTTTCTCATAAATATTCAATTGTCGTCGATATTGATAATACAAGAACCGGCAGGAACCGATATTAGACTACTTTCCGGTGACCTTCAGCAATTTGTGGTTGATCTTGCGAGTCACGGAGAGAATGTGGTTAACCAAGTGGACAGCCAAATTGATCTGGACCCTACTGTGTAGCTAAACTCACTTGCAAAATAGTAAGAGAATCCTTCTCTTCTGTTATGCAATCTTGTCCTCATGAGCCCCACAGAAACAAAAATCTTGTCCCTCTTTGAAGTTTTTCTCAACATGACCACATGGGTTTGCTTACCGTGTGACTTCACATGGGAAAGACATACATTGAATGCCGATTCCTTTAGCCCTCTCAGTATAAAACTCAGGGAAAGACCAATACTTTCTGCACAACCAGAAATAGCACTCAAATTCAACAAAAAGCAAGTTCGCTCTTCTATTGAGAATTTCTTGGAGTTGAACAAAATGATAAGCACAAAGAAGCTGATTCAAATGGCAAGGAAGTGGCAGAAGATGGCCGCAATTGGAAGAAAAAGAATTTCATTTCATCGGACGAACAGCAAGTCCGCTTCAGCACATGCAAATAGATCATCAGTTTCTCACAAGGTCACTTCGTTGTCTATACAACATATGAGAGACGCTTCGTGATCCCTCTCTCGTTTCTCAGCAAGGACATAGTGAGGAGCTCTTTAGTATCGGAAGAAGAGTTTGGGATTCCATGCGATGGTCCAATCATGCTTCCAATTGATGCACTATCTATGGAGTACATAATTTCATTAATTACAAGAGGCTTGGCTAAGGACCAAGAGAATGCTTTGCTTCTGTCATTCACCCGACAAAGCTGCTCAGCATCCTTAGCTTTCAATCAAGCATTAGAAAACCCAGAAATTCTTGTTTGTAGCTGACAAATGCAACACATACCAGTGCTTACTAGATTAATGAAAATAGTTTTGCCACAATATATGCGCTATTCTAGTTCATTTATATTTGGTTTAGATCATCATAGCATTTTGTGATGGTTGGTTTTGACTCAGATCATTGTGTCCTGCACTACGGATCCATGCAACAAAAGAGTACACAGGCTAGATTTTACCATACAGTTACTATTCAGATGTTTCGGCTTAGTGTGATCAAGTTTGGATCAGTCTAGTCAGCTTGGTTGCCAGCTTGGGTAGACATAAATCCTAAGCAAACAGTTGAAGATTATCTCAACCCCAATGGCGATGGTTGAAGCTTTTGGTAATCAATATCAACATGTATGTTATACTCACCAACTTGAAGTCCTGGTCAAGGATCTCGAAATATTTGCTAATCGTGCACGGGTGATTGATAGTCACAAGCCACAACGTAAAGCACAATCTGCTGCTCTTTCCATTACCGTAGCATGGTGATCAGGGAAATTAATGCAGATGAAACTCCCTTTCTACGGGGGAGTGACAGGATAGTAACAATTCCAGTGATAAATCTGCACCAATGGTCTGCACTGAAATTTGCACACGACATACTTTAACAAATTAACATGCTAATTATTAGAAAGTTTACCCACTGCAAACCAGATTAGGAATGGTGTGTGAAATTAGACTACGGGGATAGACAGACATGCGAAAAGGGCAAAGCCTGACTTTGCTCATAGGTGGAGAGAGACCGCTAGTATATAAAAAACATATAAATCACATTATCAAACGATGCGGGATATATCAACTCTAATTGGTAAGTGAACAGATCAGGCTTATGGTGATTGGTGATGGGCTATTTTTATCTCCCACCTGAATATTGCCTGCTACTTGATATCTCACTATTTTAGAATGCAGTCCTTGCAGATGTTGGTTGCACTATCTCTCCATTTTTTTCTAATTACCACAGATGCTCAAAGTGGACTAGTTTGAGGCTTTTAAGACACATACGTTGCTTGTTCGGTAGCCCGTCTATTGCTCCTGGAACAGCAGGTCCCAGAGTTTCGGTGCATAACATGTTTTTTCCTTCCCAATCATTGGCAAAGTAGACCAGAAAAGCATAACATGTTTTTGCAAACACACAAGTTTCTTTTTGGTTTTTTACTTACTTTTCCCCTGTAACTAACTGTATGAAGGCACTTATTGTCGCTCTCCAATCTACAAGTACAAGGAAAATATTAGTATAATACGACCGTCCTCACGTCCTTTCGGACGTAGACTCGTACTCATAACCAATAATAACCGGTCATAAAATTATACATTCATCTATTTATGTATCTTAAAATAAAGCAAGTTGGTTATAGGATCAAAATTCTGAAATCCATCAAAAAGAATATATACATATCAAGTAAAGAACAAGCTATCTCAACAACTTATGCCAAAATCCAACTCCCAAAATCCCGTAAATATCGCTCTTGTCCTATTTGTTTGTAGCTTTAGAATCTGAACAAGAATTGAGATAGATGACATGGGCAAATCATTGATCGATAGTTAGTATAGACTTTTTTATAAACATACGAGCATCCACTGTGTGCATTTACAAACGGTACCGAAAACACATTTATTCAAATCCAGTATATCATATGTGTATAAAATCAAAGATGAGTTATAAAAATTTAACAAAGTTTATACATATCAGGAATATTCATCCAATTAGCAATTCTAAAACAAGCATTCACTCAATCAGTAATTCTAAAACAAGAATTAATTGGCTAGCCCATTAATCAATCTAATGCTCAACATTAAACTATAGCCACTTAATGCCCTGCGATAAGGTGTACAATGATTCCCCTTGCCTATATCAGCCAGTAGGTTGGCCCAAACATGATGTCTAGAGAAGAACGTGCATACTCACAACTTTTCAATGGGTTCAAATTATAGTGACAAGAGAATAAAATCATCAACACAATCCTTGACCTAGTCAGAAAACCATTTCGGAATTGAATTCATAAATTGTTTCACAAATCAATTTATATAACTTTTCATAATTCCTTCCATGAAGAAGAATACATTTCAAGTAGAGAAATTTTACCATGCCATTTCATATATATTTCATGTAGGATTCTTCATCCATTTTACAGATAATGAACTCACCGACTATTTCAAGAGAAACTTTGCCATGCGATTTCAAATAAACATAAGGTAGTAAATACTCGATCCAATCTTATGAAATAAATAGGCTCTAAACTCCATTTTTCTTTTGATAAATATAATACCGTACGATGCCTCTTTCATAATCTATAATCTATATAATTTCTATCAATTTCAAGAAATGAGTTTACAAATTATAGAATAGATAATCACTACTTACCTTATTAAAGAAATCGAGGCTTGGAATTCTTAATGATCGCTTGAAACCACGTCAATCCGGCATGTCGAGATGTCCGTGACTTGCACAGAAAAAACCTCGTTTTTCCTCCCTCGAGATTCCGCTCTATTTATTAATTTTTTCTTGCCAACAATCCTCTCCCTCTTATTTCTTCTGTTTTATTTTAAACTAGCTGCAGAAGAAATAGAATTACATTACGGCTTTGCAATGCATGAACTACCTGTAGAGACGATGGACCTGCTTTGTCCATCGTCTACCAGACAAAAGTTAGTTATATCTGATCCTAGTGCTTTTCCTTTGATATAACTAATCACATGGTTTTGCCTAGGAAAACACGATAACAAAGAGAACTGCCTCTTGTGAATATTTTCTCAGAACTTGCTTATAAAACTCCTTCCCTTGCATTAACTCTAATTTGGCATAACATATCAGTATCGATCATCCAAAGCATGTCAATTATTCTCAGCTGAAGCCAACTTGATATAAGGAGCAAGAAACGATGATCAGCCCCAAGAAACTACTTAGGATGGCAAGGAAGTGGCAGAAATTGGATGCCACGGGAAGGAGAAGGCTTTCTTTGCCGAAAACCAAAGGGAAGTTTCTCGCCACATCTTCGGTGGCAGATAAGGGACATTTCGTCGTCTACACGACGGATGAACGGCGCTTCATGATACCCTTGCCGTATCTTTGCAGCGACGTCTTCCAAATGCTCTTTGAGATGTCTGAAGAGGAGTTTGGACTATCGAGCGACGGTCCTATCATCATGCCTTGCGATGCAGCTGTTATGGAGTACATAGTGTCCCTAGTCCAACAAGGCGTGGCTAAAGAACTGGAGAAAGCTTTGCTGAATTCAATTCTTGGACGGTGCTCATAGACGGCATCTTATTATCAAAGTCCGATTCCAAGTTCTTCTTTGTAGTTAATGATAACGCCTACTCTAATGTGTAATTAGGCCACACCACACAGATGAAGCTTGTATATACACTCAGCTTATGATTCTCAAATGTGAAGTCTGTAAATCCTAGATAGTATATTTGCCCAATGGGTATGTCCTAGACATATGTCAATAAATATGTCCGAATATCTCAAAAAAGAATCACAAAGACTCTCGATCTGATATGTCCTTACTCACATTAAATTGCTGAGACAAACCTGCAGTTTTGTATACTATAGCTAGTAAAAATGGATGAGATCCAGCTGATTCAGAGTCCCCAGAGAATGTGGACTCGTTTTGATTAGTTGAGCAGAACATTATATTGACTTTCAACAGCAGGACGATTATCCTAATGAGTGGTCAAAGAGAAATCGGAAGAATGGAATCCCAGAGTTTGACTCTATGGTTCTTTGAACATAGTTTTGTTATTAGGCCAGCTTATCCTAAGTTGGATTGAGATCATGCACACAAATTGCTCAATATCGATACGGAAAAGTTCCCAACCCCTGACTCCATATGGCCTCCGCAGCATTACATCTATGATCTTAGGGCTTTATCAGAGAAGGACTAGATTTGTGATATCTTTCCGTATGAGGGACAAAACCAGTGTCAGCGCTAACGAAGATTCTTAATAATGAGAATAGGTGAAGATCAATCTGTAGTTCCACTGCTTTTCCACATCAATATCCAGGTGACAGATATCAACTATATGTCTTCCTGGAAGATCACAACTATATGTTACAGAACTATCATGATCTGAGATCTGAAACCCCTAAGACCTAAAATTCCTGCTGAGTATGTTAACCAATCACGGTCAAATTGCTGCATACTTTCAATTAAGGCTACGAGAAAAGTTTGATAACAGCCTGCACTCGGCGTGGATCTAACAGTCAGGGAAAGTAAAATCTGCTACCATCTCAAATTGCAGCCAAAGAGAGTGTTGAGTAGTGATCAGAAATCATGGTTCAACGGAAAGAGAATAAACAAAAGAACAATTTTCATGTGTTGAAATAATTTCTATTTTTCACATAATTATGGCATGCTACTACATTCAGCAGCTGCAAACATAAAGTTGTGGACATGAAAATCTCTTATCTAAAGCTATACATGAGCTGCTGCAGCTCGTAATGGACATAAGCAGAGCATTCTCCAGGTCTTTAGCTAAGCCACTGCCGATCAATGAGATTATGTATTCCATAGATGATGCATCAATTGGAAGCCTGATAGGTCCACTGTTGGGAATTCCAAACTCTTCTTCGGACATCTTGAAGAGCTCTCTAATGATGCCGTTGCCGAGATATGATAGAGAGATCACAAAACGTCTGTTGTCCGAGGTGTAAACCACAAAGTGACCCTTTTGAGCGCATGATGATTTGCTTTTGTTTCCCGAAGTGGCACCGCTATTTGTTCTACGTAGTGAAATTCTTTTTCTTCCGGCTGCAGCCGCCTTTTGCCACTTCCTTGCCATTTGGATCAGCTTCTTGGTGCTTATCATTCTCACTCAATTCAAACAATCTGGAAAGAAAGAAAATTTTTCTTGTAAAAGTTGGAATACTTTTGTTTTTCTTCTGGTTGATGGGAAAGTATTGCCTTGGGTTCTTTATATAAGGAGAGGACAGAGGCAGCTTGCCATCCTTTGCCACTTTCCTCAAGGCAAGTCTCTCGCAAAGCAATCCCATGTGCTTCTGTTTGCAAAAGCTTTATGAGAATTGACATGTTTGGTCATGTAGGGCTATGAGCACATGCATAGCAAAGAAGAAGGCCTCTCTTACAGTGGTTGCAATTGTATTCAATAACATACTGGGTCCAATTAGTTTTGATGTTGTCAGATCAACCACATCACATCCAGGAGTCACAGCAGCAACCACAAATTGCTTAAGTTGGTGAAATCACAGAGCCTTATTGATGCCACGACCATCATTGTATGATCGATATCAACAAACACATTTAATCAATTAACAAGAACTTGTCGTCTGGTTGATGAGTTTAAAGTATTATAAGTTGCTTTCTCAGGGCCAGCAAAAGCAGAAATTTGAATAACCAAGATAGGTTCTGCTTTCATTAGCTGACATGTTAGGTGATTGTCTGTTGGTCACTAGAGTATATGCAATCAAATTATGGCACCTTATAATTGCTGGAAGGGAAAATAGATGATTTACATGCAAATTTTGTCTCCCCCACCCGCTGCCACCACCAAAAGAAAGAACTGTTTACTGAGCTGAAAGAATTTTCGGCTGTGCTATGGTTCTAAAAGGTTTACTCTTCTTGATCTCAATATAATGCAAACTTTCAAACTTTTCAAGTCCTAAATAGGCCATGCATTTTTCTTTGCAGGGTGTGGAGATGGACAAAGAAGAAAAACCTGAAAGCTGACATATCCTCCAAAAATTCCACTGTAGAATGTGAATAATTCCAAATATAACTCAGGCTAGGTAATGGCTATGGGCTTGCTTGAGCCACATAATCATACTTAAATTCCACGAACGCAAGTTCTTGGGTCACTAGGAAATTATTACTTATGCAGAGAAGTGAAATATGTATAACCCAGACTTAAGCTTGGAGGCTCTTTTGGTTTCCAGGATGTGAGGCGTGGCCATTTGTTATATGAGACATGTTGATGGAGCTTAAACTAGATAGGTTAGTCACTATTTTCATTCTCATCCTTTTGTTTCAGGCACAAGGAAGTGAAGCAGCTCAATTTAGTTTCCCACGGAATCAAGGGAGACAACAACCATACTTGCGATTCTTTATAACATAAAGCATGGAATCCTTGTGAAAAGTCAAGCTTGTCTGATGTGTTGATAGTATCAATTAGTATTTATTTACCATTGACAAACTCTGCAGTTTCATAGCATCAATTGGATGCACAAGGTTCAAAGGTACCACTGTCATTAGCACGACCCAGCTGAAGATGTTTGCCAACTAGCACTCTGTACACATTCCCATTAGATCTAGACTGTTGGTAAATTTCATCAGCTATTCAACTCCCTACTCAATGTATGCCCACTGAAGAACCATATAAATAGATCATATTCAAACTTTAACTCCTTAATGACTTAATCAAAGGGGGATCTGAAATTGACAGGTTCTTCTTTACTGAAAGCCATGAACCAAATAAATATATCTTGTCGATAACGTCGAAGGTTGCCTTAAATCAGTCCACATACTTGCAGCACTTCTCTCTGTTGATAATGGAGTATCGGAATAAATGATCTGAGATAATGTCAAGCATACAATGTTACATGCCTAACAGAAATGAATAAAATCAAGCAAATATCCACAAAATTTGATTTTTATTATCTACAAAAGACTGATGCTGAATCTGTCAGCTACAAATATGTATTTGGGGGCCTCGAAATGCGTTATTCAAGACCAAGGATGATGAGCAGCTGCTTCTCATAAACGTCATAAGCAAAGCTCTCTCGTGGTCCTCAGCCAAGCCTCTACTAATCAATGAAATAATGTAGTCCATAGACGACGCATCAGTCGGGACTGTGATAGGACCTCGCTTGAAATCCCAAACTGTTCTTCTGATATCCTGAAGAGCTCTTGAACAATGTTGCTGCCAAGATATGTAAGAGGGATCATAAAGCGTCCCTCATCAGTGGTATAAACCACAAAATGACCCTTGTGAGCAACTGAACCTCCATTTCTGTTTCTCAAAGCCGCATCACTGTTCATTCTCTGCGACAATATTCTCTTTCTTCCAATGACAGCCAGCTTCTGCCACTTCCTGGCCATTATGATCAGCTTCTTGGTTCTTATCATTCTTAACACTCCGAACAACTTTGAAAGAAAGGAAATTTCTCTTGAAGGTTAGAAAGCTGTTTTGATTGAGTCAAAGCACTAGCATTGGCTGCTTTATAAACAGAGAAGCTTGCAATTTGCCAACGGATGCAACATCCCTGGGGCAAAGCCATGTCCTTATAATTAGTATTATTCAGTAATTGGCTTAATTTCAGATGGGCGATCAGCAATTATAGCAGAACATAGAGGAAGCACTATAGTACTAATTTGGTACGACCTAACATACCAGGTCCTGTTAGCTTAGTTGTCAACTTGATTAACTACAGTCTCTTTAAGAATAAGAAGAGCAACCCCAGATTCCTTGAGCTCACAGCAATGAAATTTGATACTTGGCGCTGATCTGTCATTGGATGATGGGCAATATCATCCATTACATTGTCCGACAGGACCTCATCAAAATTTACAATGCAATACACTATCATGATCCTATGTCTCTGGACAGACTTGGGAAGTTTCGAGATAATCGCTGATTGGCCTTCTTGACCGTTTCAACACATGTCAGGAGTCTCCTGTATCTGTTGGGTCACAAAGAGAACATGCTAGTGAGCCAGCAGATATAAATAGATGGCGCTTTGTCATTGCAAAAGGAGAAAATAAACGTTAGCCGATCTATTAAATCCAGTAGCTCGGTTTCTCAGAATAAGTAAAAACAGGGACAAGGGCCACATTGGAGTTGGCTAGTCTGAGCCTCCTTGCTTGGTAGTCCACCTGACAACATCTCGGGTCAAGAAGGAATATCCTTGCCCATGCTAAATCTACCAAATCTTTTCACTCACAAACAACCAAATATGTCATCCCAGTCATCAACATTGGATGTTAAGAAAAAGGAATCTGTTCCTAGATGCTCATGGTTACCTTATGTGGTTGTGGTCTGTCTTTTGGTGATTATTTTGAGTTACAGAATTGATGGCCTAAAGAAAAAAAAACATCGCCACCACACAAATATTCGTTTGCCTGCCAAGATCACATGGCTTTGACCCAAATTAAACAGAGTCGCACTAATTAAGTCATTGCTACGGAGAAGACAACGAAATGGAAATTGGCGACAGGAGAGCAGAAGATTGACCGGAATATTTACTCCGTTTAGCCACTGGCGGACGTTCAGGGGTGAAGGAGGAGCAGAAATTCTCAATTGCTAGTTCATAGCCAGTGAAGACCTAGCAGATACTCCTTACTAAGGACTAAGCAGTAGAAACAATAACACTTGTACAACATTGGAAAGGGTGCAACTCATGAATTGTAGATCAGTTAGATTTTGTTGTCAAATCCTTTCGCTATTCTGGCAGGGTCACATTTTCACTTGCACGAAATTTAGTCGGTTTGGGCATTTTATGTACCAAGAATCTCACTTGCTTGAGTGCTGTTTTCTAAAGAATTAGTGCATTCCGCAAGAATTTGTCGATATTGTCACAGGTTGCCTAAATAATAGGCCTGCATACTCGGAGCACTTCTTTTTGTTGATAATAGAGTAATGGAATAAATGTTCTGAGAAGTTAACCATACAAATTTCCATGACAAGAAAAGAAATGAACAAAATTAAGCATATATTAACAGAATTTATTTGTATTATCAACAAAGAAATGGGTATGCTGAATCTGTCAGCTATGAACATATATTTGGGGGCATTGAAATGCTCTATTCAAGGCTGAGGATGATAAGCAGCTGTTTCCAGTAAATGTCATAAGCAGAGCTATCTCCTGGTCCTCAGCTAGGCCTCAACTAATAAATGAAATGATGTGGTCAATGGATGATGCATCGATTGGAATAGTGATAGGACCCACATTTGGAATCCCAAACTCTTCTTCTGATACCTGGAAGTAGTCATGGCCACGGTTCGAAACCGGCCAGTTCCAAACCGTGGTCATGTGTGAACCGGAACCGGAACTGCCCCTAGCAGTTCCGGTTCGTAATTTAAAAATTTTAAAAATAATTAATTACAAAATTATGAAATAATGAATTATTCAATATAAATTGTAATCAAAATGTAAATTGTAGGGGTGATTGATTCCGGTTCGGTCAGTTTCGCTCGGGCAACCGAACCGGTAAGATGATCCCTTAATTTTAGAACTAGGAACCGGACCGCAAATCATAGAACCGGAACCGGACCATTGGCCCGGTTCTAGGCGGTCCAATGGAACCCTTTGCTCTTAACTAGCAAAGCATCGTGAACAAAAAGCATACAACTTCATGTTCGTGAGCAGCTTGGGTTTTATCTACACAACCGCTTTGATGGTCTCTTCATTCCCATTCGATGTGGGACTCTTGGCATTGCATGAAGCAAGCCAAGAGTCTCACATTGAAGGTGTTCAAGCAGCCGAGAGTCCCACATCGAATGGGAAAGAAGAGCATTAGAATCATTGTGTATAAAACCCAAGCTAAACCTCGTAATTAGAGTTCAATACACCCAAGCCAAACATTGTAATTAGTGATCAATGCACTTACAATGCATGCAATTAGAGTTCAAATTATTTTATAAAAAAATTAAATAATGAATTTTTTTTAAATTTCATTATTATTATTTTTTAAAAATAATTTGGAACCGGAACCGGCGGTTCCGGGCCGGTTCCAAAATTGTTGGAACCGGGCCCGTAGGCCACGGGCCGGTTCCGGTTCCAAACCGCAAGCCCGGTCAACGGGCCGGGTCCAGGCCAAAACCGGCCCGTGGCCATGACTACCTGGAAGAGCTCCCGAACAATATCGTTGCTCATATATGAGAGAGGCATCGCAAAGCGTGTCTTATCGGTGGTAATGACCGCTTCTATTTCCTGAAGCGGCATGGCTGTTT